CTTGATGAGTGGCTTGGAAGCAGAGAGAGAAAAAAAAAAATGACAGAGAAACTAGAGCTTCGGCATGATTCAAAATACCACCCTGTGATCTGGAGTCAGTAGCATTACAGCACCCAAACTGTTTTTTTTCTCTGTTCCAGGACAAGGACAAAGTGCTTCTGAGGGCATTTACACACCGTAGCACGCTCCTGGTTTGCTTCTGTTGAGATAAGCTCAGCACCTCTGGTATACATAAGAACATCTTCGACACATAAGAACAGAACAAAATAAATTCATGCTTCCCTTACCAGGAGCAAAGAGTGATGCAGAGGGGGAAAAAACCCCAAACCCCAACTTTACTGAATGAGTAACAGTTGTGTCCAAGACAATGATCTAGATGAGACAGGCACAAACACTGCAGTCTCCTTTTTCTGAAACCCCAAGGAGCTGCAGTTACAGGTCCTTTTTGACTAATACAGCATTCATCCCGGAGAGAAGCTGAACACCCTCACCTGCTCTCTGAGCCCCTCGGGCTGGCATCAAAAGTGGAAGCTGCTTTTTTTTTGGGGGGGGTGGGGGGGGGGGGGCACTGCCGTTGTGCCATGAGGCTGTGCCACTGCACCCCTTCCCCTGGCTCGAGGCTCCAGTGCTCTTCTGCTCAGGTGACACTGGGCAAGCTTTTTCTCCCGACAAAAACAGCCAAAGAATCAGATTTCCACGCCCTTGGGTTTTTATCTTGCTGTCATTGCTCACCAGTTCAAACCTTGCACTGTTAGAGGACATATCATTTATCCTACACCTGGTGTTCCCCAGTGTTATTCCCCGTATTTGCACAAATCCAGACACGTTTTCTGCAACTGTAGCAAGTGCTTTCCATTAATTCAAGGTGAATTTAAACTCCCTGTACCAGGAAAATGCCTTGGTTGTCTCCTCTGCAATAAATTATCTCTGAAGCTGCAAGGAAGGTATCTAAGCATGAATACAGCTGCAGTTTGCTCATAGGAAACTTTAGCCACGGTTCTTCACAGCTTCTGGAAAAGCAAACCGTGCACGTGTGACACCCAGCGTAAGGAGGAAGACTGGGAGGCGGTTTGAAGGCAGCCTCCAGCTCCAGTGTCAGGCGTGTCCCCAGTGGGCCGTGGAACCAGAGAAACAGTCCCTGCTCTCTTTTCCACTCGGGACAAACACCCCCAGCTCCCTCCTGCAGCCCTTCAGGAGGGGAACTGCTGGGTGAATGGCTCCTCCACGCTTCTTCTCCAAAGACTTCAGGCACAAGGCTGGAGCAGAAAGCAGCACAGGAAGGAACACCCCTTGCCCACCACACCTGGGAATCATGGCTAGGGATTTCTGGATCGCCACATAATCATCCAGCCAACAGCGGGTAGACGGGTGATTTCGCGCAGCCACGAATGACAACTCTTCGCAAAACCAAAGGAGGCCACCACGCCAGCCGCTCTGGTCGAAGCATCTGCAGCAGCCCTTCTGCTGCTCCTACGTCTATCCCCAGTGCAGAGCACTTAAGAGGGAAAACTACACCCTGTTTTCTGTTACGGCTGCTTAGCAATACATGATGCCCTCAGAACACACAGGGCACGTCTGACAAAGAATATCCTTGACCTCGTCAGTTTTCTGTCTGGAGAAACTTGCAGAAAGGGGCTGACTGAAAGAGCTTCACAATAAGGGGATTTCTGAGCAGCAGCTCACAACCAACTGCTGGAATTACCCTTTTCTCTTCAAAGATACAGAGACTGAAATCTGAACCATGCACAAACACCCAAGCTTTTAATATTCGCCTCAAATGACTTGTCTTTCAAAGAAGCAGTAGAGTTGTCAGACACCACTGACCTGAATGCCTTTTCCCTGGGCCTGAAGCATTTGCATTTCACTCACCACATCTTTCCATGCTTTTAAATAACAGCAACTTCTTACTTCTACTGTTGTTACCAGATGAAAGAAAAGCGATGTCTCCACCAGTAAGTATTCCAGTGGAACAAGCTTGCAGTGAACTACACTATGCTGAGGCAAGAGAAACAGGTAAATGTTACTAGTTTGCTTGAAAGAACCCTGCAGGATTTCAGCATATAAAAGCTGATGACTTAGCAAAGCCACATGCTTTTTCTGCACATTGTGTCCCTCTGAACACGGATTGCAAAGTGGCACAAGAGAAGCTTCCTAAGAGAGAGAGGGAAGGACCAAGCACAGCATGACTCAAAGACCCAACCCTACAATTTGGTAGCAGAAATACCATGATGGTGGTGCAAGAACTAGCTTGTACCTACCCCTTTTGTCTTCACAGAAAACTTTTACAATTGACCGAGTCTCTGCCAGGAAGATAAAAAAAAAAAAGAAAAAAAAAGAAGCCCCAAAAATTTGCAATGTGATTTTCATCCTGCCAGACAGGATGCCACGGTGGCCCAGGAATACCTCCCTTCTTATCTCCTTCCAGGACTAAATTTCCTATTTTCTTTCTTACCACACAGGTAACGTTAGGCTTTTTCTCAAGACGCCCTCATTCTGTCCTCACCTCCATTCCAAAGCAGCCCGGAGCCAGACGTGCTTGGAGTACGTGACTGGAGGATTCCTGACTCCTGGTATATAAAATTTCATTTGTCAGCAAAGAGGAGAGGGAAGGGACTTTATGTAACATCCAAGCAAGAGTAATGCATTTTTACAGAACAATTCCTTTATTGCTTCACGCCGCAGGCTTTTACAGCACAGCAACATATAGTACTGGCATTGAACTTGGAGCTTAGGACTATAAATGTTTAAACATACTTTTATTTCCTATCCTGCTACCCTGACTTCTCCTTCCAGCATTGGAGGGACTAGAATTTCACTAGGAAAAAGCAAGAGAAACACGCTTTGGATGCCATTTCAGCATAAAAGCACAATGTGAAGAGTTCACAGCACAGGTCTGAAATTCTGAAATAGGATAGAAGCAGATGGCTCCCAAGCCTCTAGGTCACCCTATTTTTTATTTTTACTTCATGTGCTTCATACCAAGAGAACATATTTAAACTGAGAGTGTCTGAAGTCTAAGCGTTTTACTGAAAGAAAGTAGCACAGAGCATATTTTGGCATGGAAAATGAATTTATATTGTCAAATCTTCTCTTTCATTCCTCTCTCTAACCCCCTCAAGACCTGTTTTTGTATTCACTGCCAACACAAACTTCTTGGTACCCTTCTAGTAAATGAAGCATTCTTCACTTATTGCAGTAAATACTCTTACAAGCGCTGGTAGCTCTGGTTGTTAAGTAGTTCTTGGCTAAACCTCTGCTTTTGAAACCAGCAACCAGCAGGGCAAAGCTGAGAGCGCCAGTTCTATTTTAAATAAATTCAGTGTTAAGCAAAATCTTTATGGTCTTGCTGTTTGTCTCTTCTATTCTTCGTTCTTCTGAACTTTGGAACTTTTCCACTACCATTTTTGGCTTTACAGACACTTCCGTTTTTATTCTATAAAAGCAGCTTTGAACTATTGGCCTAATCCAGCTCAAGATTTGAAGCAGAAGGGCCATTCAAATTAGCTGTGGAGGTCACAAGGTAAAAGAACCAGACCTCTGGAGGGGGAAATCCATGGTGAAACATTTCCTTCAGTCTCCTTCACACTTTTAATTGCCCTTCCTCCATTGCTATGCTGGCTGGATACCACGTTTTTGTTCTGACCCGCCTCACAAACAAGAGGAGATATTTCCAAAAAGCCTTTACCAAGTCATGCTTGGTTTCAGTGGAACTCTAGCCACTGCTAAAATGCAGCACTACAAAGATTTAGTGCAGTTCTTGCAAACCTGTTGGCTGGATAATGATTGCTCTTCCACATTTCCATCTGTGACTTCACCCCTGCAAGCTCTTCACTGCAAATAGCGCTCTGTGACTTTGCTCCAGGCATCTGGACACAAGCAGAGCCACTTCCACTGCCTCCAGGGAAAATACTGCTGCCTAAGAGGGAAGCTTATGTAGCTGTTCCAGCAGGAGGGAAAACCAGGAGGACTACGGCTGTTAACAGAAGTTAAAATGCAAAAATACTACAGCTCTACTATCTAACCCTAAGGGAAAGGAATTCATTTAGCAATGAATAAACAGGTGAGAAGCAACAGTTGCTTCTTATTATTTATGCAATGGAACAAAAAAGCTCTGTGGTTGCAGCTAGTGGCTACCAACAAATGCAAAGCATATCAATATGCCTATTAGTGTTCAAATTGTTTTATCTAGAAACTTTCTAGAGCAGTAACACTGCTAGAACACTCAAGCTCTGCAAAACCTGCTTGATTTTTCGTTCTACAAGAGAGGCAGGGAGGAGCATCTGCAAGAGTGGGAAGATAGGGATGCACAGAGGAGAAGCCACGATTCTGGGAAGCAGGCAGCAATGCGGAGGTTTTCTTTGATGCCAGAATCCCACCACAGAGATTAACACTCCTTCCCAACTGAGGCAGGGAAAGTTAAGAAGGAAAACAAGTTTATTAAAAAAGATTCTAAGTGGTAGGCTTACAGGAGATAATCTTTCCAGCATTTGAGGTCACTACTAACTCAGGAGAGAAACTTTGTGGATGAAGGCCCTGTTACGTTTGACATACCTATAAAGTAACAAACTAAGGAAAGCTGTTGCCCAGCAGTGATATTCTCCTAGCCATAAAGGCAGTAAATTTAAAACCTCTTCATTTACATCGGGCTACAGTTACAGCACCCAGGACATCTGCATATACAACAGGGCACCTCTGCAATAGGTGCACCAGGAGCTTTTTATGCAGTTGTCGTGGTTTGAACCCGGCCAGCAGCCAGACACCACGCAGCCACTTGCTCCCCCTACCCCCTGCTCCAGGGCTGGAGGGGTAAGGCAACTCATAGGTGGAGATAAAAAGCATTTAATAATTCAAATAAAATAATAGCAATAATGGAATAGACGATGAGTGGTGCACAATGCTATTGCTCACCACTGCCCAGCCCGTTCCCGGCCAGCGATCCCCGAGGAGGAGGCATGTGAGCTGGCACTGGCAGGACACAGGAACAACCACAAAACCACGGATGAAATGCAAAGAGGAAATTTATTGGTGTTACCTCACGACCCAGGGGATTTCCACAGCAGCACCCGGGCAGAGGCACGCAAGCGGGGATGTTGGCACCGCGGAGCTCGGTCCTTGCTAAGCCAGGAAGAGGAGAAGAAAGAAAAGGTCTCAAACTGGCTGCTTTCACCTGTTTTTATCAGGGATTTTCACAGGGGTAGTTCTCTACTGCGCTCTGATCTTTCCCACAGCAGGGCCAGAATCTCAAGGATGTTTGATAAAGTGTCCCCGAGTCTCTCACAGACCGGTGTTACCTAAACGCAGACATTCTACCTGTCAAGCACACAAAGCTAAACAGCAATTAGTACGACACAGATTTTTTGACACCCCAGCTGCAAGTGACCTGAGCGCGTTTACAGTCCTCCTCACCAACCTTCCCTTGTGTCCCCACTGGAGGGAAGATCCTGAAACCGAAATCCCGGAATAGAAAGCGAGCCCCGGCTTCCTGGCCAGTCTTCATCTATACTCTGAGCAGGACATCTGATGATACGGAATATTCCCTTGGCCTGTTTGGGTCTGGTGCTGTGCTCCCTTATAGCACCTGTGCACAGGCAGGACAGGGGGAGTTGAAAAGTCCTGGATTTCTTAGCAACAGCTAAAAACATCAGTGTATTATCAACATTCCTCTCCTACCAAATCCCACACTGAATGCAAACACAGCACTTTTCTAGCTAAGGCAGAAAATCAGCTCTATCCCAGCCGAAACCAGGACAGCTGAAAACCGCAGGGGTGAGCTACATGACTGCAAAAGGCGCTGCTCAATCCTTGCTGATGCCTTCACTCCTCTCTTTAGATGTCCTGGTACAAGGGACTTCAACAAGCACCGTGGCTTTACCACTCTGTATTACAAAATTATATGGGAAAGAGGAAATAAGCCTTAAAAGAAAAACAAAACAAAACAAAACAAAAAACAAACAAACAAACACAAACAAACAAAAAGAAAACACAACAAAAAAACAAACTACAAACCCAAAACTCGGGCCTTGTCTGTCAACAAGCATTTGTCATCATTTAATTCATCACTTCTGCCCTAAGAAATCCTGCGGCCTCTGAAGAGTGAACTTCAGCATCCCGATTTAGTTGCTGCCTGGCGGAATTACGATTTGTCTGGGAAAAAAAAAAAAAAAAAAATAAAGCCCCACCACCGCTAAACGGTAGCTGATGCCCCCCCCCCGGCTGCCCGCCCCCGCCTTCCGCCCGCCCCGGCCCCCCGGGCGGGGCCCTCACCTGCCCGCCCCGCCGCGGCCGGGCGGCGGTTCGGGGCCGGAGCCGATGGCGGCGGCCGCCCCGCCGGGCGCCGGGGACCTCTGGCAGCTGGTGAGCCCGGCGGCGGGGAGCGGGGCCCGGCCGTGGCGACGGGAAAAGGGGGGGGGGGGGGGGGGGGGCAGATTCTGCGTTGCCGGTCCCGCCCGCGGCCGGGCCGCGGAGGGCGGGAGGCCGGCGCGGGAGAACGCGGGCCCGCGGCTCGCTGGGCCGCCGCCCGCGGCTACCGGCTTTCTCTTTATTTCTTTCCCCCCCCCCCTCAGGCGGAAAATCTGCTGTGTCAGCTGCAGGAGAATTTTCAAGCTCTGAGTGAAAAGATAACGCTGAGAAATATCCTCTTGGGCTCCGCGGGACCGAGGCTTCGTGCCCCCACGGCTGCGGTTGCCCCGTGGGAGAGGGGTTGGTGGGGCGGGGATGGAGGGGCTTTGCTTCTAAAATGCGCTTTTTCTCGATTAGTTCATCCAGCGATTGACGGTGCTCGACACCTCTGAGGTAAAACCAGCTGAATTGCCCCCTGAGCCCGCTTATTTTTTCCCCTCAGACTAAGAAGAAAATCCTAAAAAAGGTTTTACTGGAAGTAGTATCAACTCCCAGTGGGCTAGTCTCGGTGCAGTAATTCTTGCTCTTGAGTGAAATAAGGAATCAAATTACGTGTAAAGATTTCGAAGGTACCTTAAAAAAAGCAATTGTCTTCAAAAATGCCACTTAACATCAGCGTATCGCTGCGTGTTGTTGGTACAAAACAGCCGTCGGCTGCCCGGGCATGGGAAGGTGAGCCCTCAGAGAATTTGAGACCTGACAGGGCTCTGAGCTTTCTCATTAGAGGTATTTACAGAAACTACTTCCATTTTCTAGAACTATTAATTTATCATATTTTCCATTTTTTCCAAAACTCATCCGCCTTTCAGGAAGTGGCTGCTTTAGTGTACAAGAATAATAATGTCTTAGCAGCGCATACATTGATTGTGTAGGTTGACTGTATGGTGTCACCTAAAATAGTTCCTCAGAAAGAAAACAATCTCTTACACAGAAAACGTTCCCATTCACTCGTGGGCATACGGGAAGGCATTTGAAAATATTAAGAACTTAAATGCTTACCTGTTGCAAGAAGAAGCGGGATTGTTTTGTATGACCCTGTGCATGCTTCATCTTGCATTAAACATGAACAAGTAAGAGGCTGAGACATCTGGAAGAAAGCTGCTTGTTCTTCTTACAGAAGAAAACTGTAAAATTCTAGAATTCTTATTGAGAAGTTATCTTTAACGTTTTACTGGAAGAAATGGGCGAGCGCATTGATGACCTTGAGAAGCATGTTGCTGACCTGATGACAGAGGCTGGGATAGGAAACACCAACGAAGAGTTGAGAGTAAAGTAACTTAAGTTTTACTGTGTTTTATATGTTTCCACTTAGTTTTGAACTATGGGCAGCACCTAGCATAAAAATATTGCTTACATTTTTATCATACCTGCGTTTACTTGGATTTTAAAGTATACTGAAATTAAAAAAAAAAAAAAAACAAAAACAAAAACTTAAAATTACCTCTGATTTCTTTTTGCCAAGAGCCAAATACCACCACTTTTTCCAAAAAACCCTGTAGCTTGCTGAATCTGTTCCAGGCAAGAGCCATATACAAGGGGTAGGGCAAACTAGTCCCAAATATGTAAATTGAGGCTGTATGTTTGTAATAAATTGTGTGTGGCTTAAAGCTCTCCTGCCCACCATTCCTGTCCCTCAAGTATGCTAACCTAGCTGACTGAGGATTCTCACTGGTATAAATTTATGTACATCTTTTAAACCTCCTTCAAATTCCCAGGGTGTTTCCGAGCACACCTCTTCAACACATTCCCCCTGGACGCAGCAGCCGTTTGTTCGGGCAGCAGCAGGAGGGGGGGATGGAAGGAGCAAGGATAACTTCCAGTATTACTGTCAAAGCCTTTTTCGTGATAAGCTATGAAATAATTTTCAGAAATATAGAAAGACAACCCAGGAAGATGTATTTAACTGTCCAGAGATCTTCCTGTTTCTGTGCTGAATCACATTAATGAATAATTAAACCACTAATCTACTTAATTCACTGTTTCTTTGCAGCACTTAAATGAGGATGCGATCAAGAAAGATAAAGGGAGAACAGCACCACACTGAATCTGAGAGTTTACAACCAGCGCCACTAGCCACAAAAAACATCAGTAAAAACAAATGTACTTGCATCGTGTCACGATACAGTATTTTTTGTTTCTTTATTGCCCCAGGAAAAAAGCAGAAAGCTGGGTTTATTCATCTAAATGGGATGCTGTATTTCCTGTAATGGGGAAAAGACCTAGTAGTTTCAGGGAAGGCAAAAGCCCAATTTTGGATGGAAAACTATATCCTATATAGTGAACGTATCCAGTCATAAGCTTCATCAATGTATGCAAATATATTTCACTTATTTTAATAATATTAAAATTTCCATCTTATTTCTTTGTTGCCTTTTTATCGTAAATGTTCTCAGAATAACAAGATCCTTCTACATCAAAACTTTTCCACTTGCAAATGCCATTTTGAAGCTTCTTTAAATGTTTTACATTAAAAAATGCACCTTACTTGGTGTTACCACAAGGGTGCCTTTGCAGAGCTTCACAGGTCCAATGAACAGAAACTGTTCCGCACTGAAAGGGCAGTAGTTGCACAGATTACAGCCCTTCAGTTGTTACTCTTTTCACAAGCCCGCCCAAAGCTGTGCACACCTGCACAGGTAACATCAGCTGGGTATGTGTACCATGCCAATTTCAGTTCTTTAAATTGGCCGTTTTGATGAAAGTCTATTTTAAACACTTGGAGATAGATAAGGAATTGTAGTTACCAAACATGTTTCAAACAAGCCAGGGTGGTCAAAGAAAACGGGACATCTGCACTGGCTTTAAGGTTCTTGTACACCAAAACTGTGGCAGTTTTTGCAGAAGAGTTTTTGTTTGAATCTTAACAGGAACCTCACAAATGCAGAAATTGAAGCATTGCCAGGTACACAGAATACCTCAGCTAATGAAGGATCAATATGCTTTTTAAAACTTGGCATCTATTGCAGTCCTCATTAATAGCAAGAAATCATTCTAGTCAATGCTTTACTCCGTGCAGTGCCAGAGCAGGGGAAGAGGTTGATGTGCTGGAGGACAGGCTGGAGAAACGGGCCAACAAGAACCTCGTGAAGTTGGAAGGCAAGAGCCAAGCCTCCCCGCTGGGCCAGCAGGGAAGGAGCGGGGTCTGGAGGCCATGTCAGCAGGGTGCCCTGGCTCCCCAGCTCAAGAAATGTATGCAAGGAGGGAGTTAAAAGAGAGAGCCACCAAGACAGCGTGGAGGAGAAAGCAGATGAGGGTTTTACAGAATTCTGTTAGCTCAGCTTTTAAGACCAGCTTCTTGCTGACAGCAACAGCCCCAGGGTAGGGCACGGAGAACAGACAGACTGGTGGTGGTGGTATTTTACACCACAGAAGTTAACAGACAGCAGCAAAATTCCAGCTAGATGCAAGGAATACTTTTTTTCAACTATTAAGGTGCTCAAACAGCAGAAAGGCTGAGGAATCACCGACTGGAGAAATATTCAACACTGAACACGGACCTGGGCAACCTGAGCAAGCGGGATCCACTTTGACTGGGAGGTTGGTGGTCCCTTCCAACAACAATGATTCCGTAATTAATAACCACCGTAAACCAGATTAATTTAAGCAGAAACTGGGACCCTGTGTCTTACTTTCTTGCCTCATTTTAAATCCTCTAAAACACACATTAGACAGTAAAAAAGCCTATTCTACTCTGTCTTGTGACAAACTTGACCGTAAGTACAGGTAGCTTCTTTCTGCAGTCTGGCTTGTTTTTTCTTAATCCTGTAAATATGCATGTATCACTTAAAAGAGAGAAAACAAAACAAACCCCCACAAAACCAAGAAAAACACCACGCCAAAACAACTCCCCACAACACTGGCTCCATTACTACAAAAGTGGTCAGAAATGCAAACGGAAACTTCGAAAGCCATGCCACAGTGGAATCCAACCCCAGTCTCGTGAGTATACATGCATTTTAGTACAGCACTAGACAAACTGGAGGTCAAATGAGAGAAAGCACAGCTCATCCTTTCTTCAGCTGCTGACTGTGCAGCCATCTCCAGAACTCCAAGTACCCTTTGGTTCTGCAGAAGCTACCAAGTATTTCAAACTGACTGCTGATCACCATGAAAAAGTTGTCACCACAAGTCAATTAAACTGATGGGGGGGGAGGTGTGCACAAAGTCACAGAAGATGTTTTTTCTCTGAGTTTTGCTAAATATTAATTCTCTGAGTTTTGCTATGTATTAATAAATGCACCTTAGTGATTTTCTCCTGTTTTTAGTGAGCACAGGAGACCAAGATGCTATGCAAGGAAATCCTGACAGAAGTAATAAGCCTTCATCTTCAACATTATGACTTTGCATCCAATCACATTTGGGTTTATTCTTATATTTAATTAGCTAAAGAAAATTCACGTGGAACTCACTGTACTCTTTTTAAAAAGCTATGGTATAGTTTTCCCAGATATTTGTATAACAAAAGCAAACAAAACCAGTTAAAATGTTTTCCTGCAAACAGGCTTTTTGTGTACAAAAATACATTATACCATAAGGACAGCACAGAGTAAAGTCTTTAAAAAAAGACATAACCAAAAATTCAGCTACAGTATTACTGCAGTCAGACAGTTCCAGGCTCCATGTCTTCTACTTTTCCAAATGGACTTCAAACCTTTTAAATAATTCAAGATATGCTCAAAGTTGAAGGATTTGTAGGTTTTTTTCTTTTAATATATATATGTACACACGTACGCAAGAATAAATTTAAGTGGATATAAGGTTAAAAAAAAAGGCAGCTCCAAAGAGATGTCAGTATCTGTATTTAGTAGAATAATCTTTTGGTGATACCACCAAACCTCGACCTTTGCGGGCTCCTCTGTAAACAGTTTCTATAATGTCAATCATCTCTTGCTTATCTTCCATTGCCCAGTTGATCTTGTTGTTATTACCTGTACCTAAATCAATCATGATGTGTTTGTTCCTTTAAAGGCAGAGAAAAAAAAAAAACAAAAACAAACAAAAAAAAAAAGACAAGTTAACATGGTATAATATTGCACAAACAAACCTTTATATCCCCCACAAGATCAACAGGCTTGCAAAGTGAGTCTCAAAGAAAGTGTGTCCACTCGTGTCACTCAAGCTGACATTTTACTGCCTATTTCTAAAGCTAGAACAAAGCCTGCAAACATGCCCCTGAGATCGTTATTCAGTGCAACCACCCTTCAGCGTATTCCTCGTGGTTTATATTTGTTTCCCACTGCTGTCTAACACCTGAGAGAGTTTCACGCTTATCAGCAGTGTATTTTATCTCATCAATGTAGATGCCTTAGCTCCAAGAAGCCTTAATACTTCGGGTCTATCTTTAAAGCAAGTTTGACAGGCTCGACTGCTGTGTTACACTGCAGTATTCTACACAGGGAAAAATCAGAGTTAAAACTAAAACCAATGGATAACAGAAACAGTTTTCACTAATTTGTACCCTATCATCAAAACCCCGTTACTAGGCTAACTGGAAAACAAGCCGTTTTCCTATTTAATCAGTTTACTCAGAGCAACGAAAATACGAGCATCAAGATGCTGATAGGCATTTAGAAATGATCTGAGACACTGTATTTGACACATAAAAAATTTAACTGAGTTACATTCTAGAACCATCATGTACCTGAAGAAAAACATGACGGTACAGGGATCGTACAACTCATACATCTTGTTGAAGTCTGGTACTTCAGTGATATCCACAAGATAAATAACAGCAAAGTTTTTTACCTAAAGAGAAGAAAACAGGAAATAGAAAAGCAACACATATTACCAAACTTTTGATTATTTGTATTACTGCTTAAAAGACATAAGCCTTTATTATTGCAACATTATCCGAAATAGTCATAAAATCACAGTAAACTATATTGACATTAATTTTTAACCACAACCATCAGTTAACATGGAAGATATTTTTAAATATAGCCAAGATGCTCACTTCACACCCAGTATCAACTGGAAAGCTACGCTGCTAAATCAACATCCAGAGGAACAAATACCCTTTCTATACAACAGAGACCTCACGGTGACATGCACAGCTCTAAACACTCAGAGTAACTGCTTTGTGCAAGCCAAGCTGACATATTTTGCCTCTGTTGTCAGCTGCTTACAGACTTCAGAAAATTAACAATCTAAAACGCCCTGGTGCCTGCTTCCAAGCATTTTTTCCTCTCTAAACTACCTAATTTGTTTAACAAGGCTCATTAAATGAAAATAAACCTGATAATTTAATAATAAAAACTGACAGCTGTTTTTGATAGGTGTAAAGCTAAAACAGAAGCTTAAAAACTCAGTTGATAATAAAAAAAAAAAAAAAAAAGACCTTGATGAGGAGCTATTCCCTGGGCAATTCTGGTAAAATAGGCTTTTCTTTTGCAGAGTTTCTGAGTTAAATGCACAAGAATCCCTCCCCTTCAATGTCATAACTAATGTCTTCATTCCTGAAAGAAAACCATGTAGCATTTTTGTTTCTGAGATGTAGTATATCTGACCTTGAGTGGAATTAAGGGATGTTTTTGTTTCTAAACTTAGCTCATACATGCATAGGAGAAATTAAGGCACACACACACATTAAAATACAAGCCAGTAGGTGCCTCAATTACACAAACCTTTAACTGTAACTGTACTCATGCATTATACCATAAACACACAACCTTGCCACACCATCCTTACATACAAAAACAATTTCAGTCCTTCCCGTTTCACTATGCAAAATTACCGGCCCGAGGTAACACATCTGACCTAAAATTTATGACAAACTTACTGGTTGTCACAGTACTTCCCACTTGTTAATTTTGCTGTCAAACCTGTGGAAATGCTATGATGAGTGTAATTTCTGCTTTTAAAAAGATGTTTTATTTTAGTCCACAAAGCAGGATTAGACTGTATCAGAAAAATTACCGTACTAGCATCCTAGCAGGCACTTGAATTGAGAAAGTATGGAGATGTTTGTTTACAAAAAAACAGAAGGACAGTAAATAAATGCTGATGGACTTCTGCTTCAAGACAGTTTCTAAGTTATAGAAAATAATTGCACTTCAGAGATGTAAGTAAGTATTAGTATTGAAGAAAGTAAAATCGCTTCTGGAGTGAAACAGCATTTAAATAGTTTTTTACTGTGCTTTTATGGAGCAGGTTATAATCCTAGACCCTGTCAATTATCTAATGAAAACATCCCATTTAAGCCATGTTCCAAAACAGGCAAAATGTAAAGCCTTGAAAACCCAAACTGGTCATAATATCAAACCCTAACACCCCCTGCAGTGATCGTTCACGCCCATTTTAATTTTATATGAAAGATTTCTAAGAAACCTCATGGGATATTCAGAGTCAACAATTTAGCTGAGAAGTGACTGACACTACTCCCTGGTTAGCCTTAGGAGGCAAAAGACAGTTGTGTGTGTTTGGAGTTTTTGTGGGTTTGGTGGTGGTTTTGTTTGTTTGGTTGGTTTGTTTTTTCTTAAAAAAAAACCATAACAAAACCTGAAGAGCCATTTTCATTTTCTCCTATCACTTCCTCTTCCATTCTGCTGGCATTTTTAATATCAGTAGCACAGCTGTGGGGAAATTTCTCCAACACATTCAGCAATTCCAGCAAACTAAACAATCTTTGAACAATTATTTAATTTGGAAATTAGAAAATATTTTGAAGTTAAAGCAAGCATTAACACAACATTCTCGGGACCCGCTTTGTTCACTAAAAGATTAGTGTGAGGACATTATATATGCCACCAGAAGATCACTACAAAAGCACTGTTAAACCAAAATTTTACTTCCAAGAACCGAGTACTCCACTTAGTACTGGAATAACAAAACTTGTGAAGTTAGTTTGACATTATCTATGTTTAATTTAGTTGAGCTGTTGCAAAACCAGGAATGCTTGTCACTAGCAATGAACATCAGCGGCCTAAGATTTCAGAAAAGAGAACCAGACTATTCGAGTCTTAAGTTATTACGTAAATCTTACTCAAAAGGATGGGATCATCCATATCATCTTTGCACAGCATATATGTAAGTTATCACTGTAACCTAAGTATCTCAGACACGAACAGAATCTGCCTTCTTTCCTACCTACTTGTATAGAAGTGAAACAGAACAGTCACCTGCTCAAAAGCTTGTATGAAGTCTAAAGCAGACCTCAAAGCTAGATACAGACTCTCAGATTTGAATTCAGAACTTCAGAAGTGGCTCTGTTCTTTCCCCCTTGCTTTCTTAATTTCAAATCTGACAGGATTACCACTCCGAAACCACGTAGCTTGCCAGTGTGCTAAACAAGGCTGTGTTTTATTGAGGCTGGGCAGTGGCTGCCAAGGCTGGCCGTGCCGTGGGCCGTGCCATGGGCCGTGCCACGCTCCGCTCCCATCTGCGTGGCAGCAGGACTGGGATTCACGCCTAAGAACGAACGAACGAGAGGGAAACGCAGGGAAGAGGCTAAATATGGCAAGGGCGATGCAGAAACACTGCAGTGGCCATAGTATGTACCATTTAGTGGCCGTGCCAGGCTGGGCAGGCTCGTCACCAAGAGGCGTTTTATGGCAACACAAGACCAGCCCTGCAGAACTATTCAGTTGCCTCCCTGCACAGTGCTGACCAGTTTCAGAGCCCGAAGCAGCACTTCCCGGTCTCACGCAATACTGGAGCCAAGCTACAGCAGCACAGAGCAGCACCTGAGCCAGCTTCACACACAGCCAGCTCGCAGTCACGAGGCTTCAGCTTAGGCTTTGTTTTAAGGAAAAGCATCGGAAGGATTTCTGGATTCAGGCTGCTATGGACGCAGGAGTTGATCTATACTCGAGCTAGTAAGTTTGTGGAGACAAACCAAAGCTTAACCTCTCCCCATCCATTGGGGCATGAATCCATTCCCCAGCCAACGGGTACAGAGCAAGAACTACATTCCTACAGAAAACAAGCTTCGCTGTCGTTTCAAGGCAGTGGTTGCTAAGAAGTTCTTTTTCTGACTGGGGATATAGTATGGAGACCTCAGAACAAGAGTTAATTACAACTCTGAGCAAGCAGACCACATTAAATAAAAGCAGTTGCAGTTGTAAAAATTGAGACCACACTGAGGTTGTTAGTGTAAACCGAAACTGTACTGTCCAGGCGATATGCAAAAAAACTAGCAGCATAGTTGTATATTAAAAGTTGAACAGGTAATAACACAAGTTGACTCCGAAAGTACTTAACCTCATAACATACACTAAAATACAGTAGATTTGTTGCAGTAAGCTGCATTCTGAAAAACAAAACAAACAAAAAAAAACCCAAACCCCCTAGTGATAGACCTCCTTTTTTTGGACAGCTCCACACTTACTCAACACTCGAAGGTAAAAACATGTTCAGCAGAAAACCAAGACAGATATTAACTTTTGAATATATTTATTTCTGACACTCTGACTTCCTTTATCCACCTTCCAATTCAAAACTTTTTCTGTCTTACCAGGCCATCATAGCTGCTGTCCATGGGGACAGGATGGAGTAGGAAGCTAAAAGTCAAACAGCAGCATGGATTCAGAATTTTATCAGACTTACTTTCAAGGGTTGGGCTTCAATTTTGGCTGTTTTTTGGTTGTTTTGTTTGTTTGTTTTTTCTTAATTACTGTAGCTTCACAGATTAGTCTACATTACTCAACACAAAACCCCAAAGTACATTATTGCCTAGCCACAGTTACAGGCTATACTGCACAGAACTGTATCTGCTTGGGTGGACTACATTAAATCTTTAAACAGAACAGCTCAAGACTATAAAGCAGAGGAATCTATAGGACCCTTGACATCAGATACAGATTCTGTATCCTATCTTGATCGAGACCACACACTTAACTAGTAAACAGGAAACACAGATGTAGGAAAAATCATATGCCAGATGAAATAAATCTCATTTGTCCTCCAAAGTTCTCCCTCCTGACTTTCTTCATTAACAGTGTCATTTCAAAAAGAATTAATGCATGCCTACAGCATGAAATTGCCACAGCAATATAATCAATGACTAGGAAAAATGGCAACAACCATGAAGTTTCTTTGAATTTCTGTTATAGGTAAAGCAATACTCTGTTTTGTTAAGATTTCAGCTCCCTTTAAGAAGCAAGTCTCACAGCCGTACGTTACCTTATGGCCCAAAGTGAATACAGCAAATAAGTGAGAAAGTATCTCAGATTCCATCTTATCATCTTCCTAACCAGTTTCTAGACAATGTTTTTTATATTTAGATGGCTTTATGGACCAGGAGATCACAGGAAAAAAAAAAAGACAGGAACTGAGATGAGCTTTTGCGACAAATCATTTAAGTTGATGGCGGCTAGCAGACTTCCATTACTGAACTGAAAGAGGCTGCAAACACAGTAAGTATAAACTTGACAGTCTGTACTGTCAATATTTATTTAGATGTTTTTCTTGTTAATTATCCTGTAAGTTTAAGCAATAAATTTCTAGGGGGAAAAGAGAAAGAGAGCAATGCTTACAGCTGATAATTTTGAAAACTACAGACATGAGTAAATGGATTAGCTTTGCTCAACTTTAATTACAAACACCAGTAACTATAATACCAATACGTGTTTTTATAGCTCCCTCTTTCTGCCACCCAGCTCCTTCTCTCTCACTTTTCACGTAACCTTAACAGAAAGGCAGAAGCACAACTAATGTCTGAGCAAAAGCCACAGCTATTCAGCACTTTTGACTAGTTAAATAAACGCAAAACATTTGAACAATCCTCCCTAAACCCACGTTGACCCAATATAACCTATTGATTAAAGTGACCTGGTTTCACAAGAAGTTATCTGATTTTCAGTATTCAGTAGACAAATCATGGTTTTAAACTATTTCTTAAAAAAGAGGTAAAAAAGCATCCAAAGCCCTGTAATTCAGGGGACATTTTTTAAATAACTGAGCTTCCTTTTAAAAAATGTGTATTTTTAAATAAGGTGTTCCTGAGGAATTTTATGGAACTCAGTTCTTAGATGTTTGGTTGAAACCCTGACAAAGCAAACAATTGAACATCTTACAATTATCATTTGTTTTGAAACTCAGTGAAACATTGCTTCTTTTTTATCTAACATTGTAGGGGGAACAGTAAGTGGAGTACATTTCAGTGAAAATAAGCTGCTTTGTATTTTCATATAGTGGTCTAGTTTCTTTTCCCCCAAAAGGATTCAAACTGAAAAAAAATCATGTTTTCCTACTGAAGAGAGAAAACTAAAAAAGTACAGATAAATATTACTTCTACCCAAAAATACGCTGCAGACTACAAGAATATTGCACCACCGTAACAGATGTAAAATATGGCTACATTTTCTTCAAATGTAGCATGCAATTATAGCATGTTAACATTCGGTATTATTCTCTAGTATAAACACCTGTACAATTGGAACTTTTACTCACTCTTTAAAACAGCAGAGATCCAAACATGGCTTGTAAGCAAGAGGATGAGGAAGGATCTCCCCCTTTAATTTGCCATTTCTGCAGAGGGAGATTTTTAAATAAGAAGTTACATTGTTCTTTCTTCCCCCAATCACCCCGAAGTGCCAGTTAGTCTGCCAAATTGCCAACCATCCTGCCAGAAGTCCATACTAGCAGTATCTAAGCATAAGACACTCCCACCAGGTTAAACACAAGCAACTACATCAACCCGTGCCACAACTCCTTACTGTATTCTATTATGGCTTAACACTTGCCTATAGGTAGCCAAATTTCATCACAGGGATTTTTGAGACAGAAGTTAATGCATTTAAAAAATAACATTAAGAGAAAGGAGTACACCATGAAAAGAACTTGGTACCAAGTTACGCAGTATGCACGCAATTTTACGTGAAGATAGCTGACTCCTTTTCCGACCCAAGTTACTGTTTCTGGTTCAGATCTTTATGCTTCATTTCTACATGGTTCAGTTAAAGAAAAGGTATCAACTTTGTGTATCTATCACTATACAAAACCTTTACCAAACACATGAAAAGGTAATGTACACAATCAGCTATAATTTAACAGTCTAATTCTTCTTCAACACCTATCTTTCTTAAGTGAGTGACCAGCTGCCAGCAGGCATTCAGTTTCCATCTGAAAACAGCTTCAGAGTTTGGCTCCTAAAATTTAATTTAGCCCATGCAACTCAACGGAACGCCACCTGCCTCTGTGAATAATATCATTGATAAGATTAATCAACACCGTCCTGTACATTTTAGGATTTCACCACTTTCAAGAGCCAAAATGAAGGTAACTTCTCAAGTTATTCAAATGGAAATCTGAAGCTACTATACATTCTTATTGTAGAGCGAGTGCTGCATTCCCTACGGCCGCAGCAGTCCTACTCCCAAGCGCTCGTTTCTGCTCAAGTGCTGGCGTTTGTTAGATGATGGATTATTAACAGGCAGGGATTTTGATTTCAGAACTTGCAACGCTCTTTTCACCCCGTGAAATACCACAAACACCAAGGTAGCCAGTGACTTTAGGAGACTCACGAAAGCAAACCAAACAGCTTCCTCCCTGCCTCCTCCAGCTGGAATCCCTCTCCAGAAACCAAGTTATAACCCGCCTCAAACCCTTTGGGGCCCTGAGCGCCTGGCATGACAGCTCTGCTTTACCTTCTCTGCGATGCTGTATAAGACTTCATCCATTTTCATGCAGGTGGGGTCCCAGTCGTGCCCGAAGCGGATGACCACGACTCGGTCCTCCTCCGAGAGGATGGCCTGGTCCACCTGCCAGCCATTGTGCAAGTGCGGCAACATGTACGACATCCTGGCAGGCGTGGGGGGGACCTGTGGGACAGACAGCGACCACGCGGGAGCTGACAGCCCGGCCCCGCCTTCGCACGGCGCCGGAGCCCCCCCCAACACAGGCCCCACGGGGGACAGCCCCCCACACACACTAGGCACCCCCTCACACACACCCCACGGCGGGCACACCTCCCCCTCCCCCCTCTGTCCCCACTCCACGGCGGGTACCCCCACGCACACCCAAGGGGGGGATACTCCCCCCCCGCGACGGCAGGCACCTTCGACACCCCACTGAGGGCACCCCCACACAGGATATCCCCCCACGCACACACACAAACCCCCCACATGGGACAGCCCCCCAAACACCCACCACCACCCCCAACCCCCCCCCGCTCTCACAGGGGACACCCTCCCACACAGGCCAGGCCCGGCTCGGCCCAGCCCAGCCCAGCCCAGCGCTTAGCGGCCGCAGCCTCCCGTGGCGCAGCGATGCCGCCAACCCGCCGGGCCCTTGCGGAGCGCCAGGACCGGACCGGGCCGGGCCGGGCCGGGCCGAGCCGAGCCGAGCCGAGCCGAGCCGGGCCGAGCCGAGCCGAGCCCCCCCGCACCCCGCGGGCCGCCTTCTCCCGGAGACACGGTGCGACAGAGCCGCGGCGGAAGCAGCAGCGGAAGTGACGAAACACGCCCGCGCGCCCGGCGGAGGGGGCGGGACTTCCGGGGGGGTGGAGGGGGCGGCCGCTCGGGCCGTACCAAGTATGAAGGCGGCGGCGGTGGGAGGAGAGGAAGAACAGCTTGGCCCGTACCAAGCGGAGGAGGGGGTGGGAAGTAGTAGCCGGACGCAGAGGGGAGAGCACCTCCTCATGGGTGGGTCTGGAAACAAAATAAACAAGCATTGATACTACCTTAATCATACCTATTAATTGCATTTTTATCATATTTTTACCCTATTCATTACTCTTCCAGGAACTCATTCGCATACATTAATGTCTCTCGCACATGGCTGTTGGAGGCTTCAGGTGGTCGTCGGGGGTTTTCAGATGAAGGCTCATAGTCTTCCTCACTGTGTCCGCCAGCTGACCTTTACTTCTGCACAAACTCAGTCCCGTGGTCACATAGATCTCGTCCTTCCAGGCTGGCCTGGTCTGGTTTTGGTGCTAATTTGCAGCTTCTTTATCTTTACATTTCTTTGCAGCTGCCACTACAAGGCCAAACCGTCTGAAGTCAGATTATTTATGAGTTCCTCATCCTACAGTTATTCCAACTATTCCTCGAAAGAACAGCATGTGTTCTGCAGCACAATTGTTAAATGGTTAAAATGGCTCAAACTGATCTGAATAACTCTACTCCTCAGACACCTGTTTTCTAATAACGGCAGCTCACAGGTACCAGCATAGCTGTGGCCTGAGCGCTGTGTGGGACGCAGCTCTGCTTCCACCAGCCGGGTCGCAGCCGCGTGTCCACCTGCGCTGCGTGAAACGTTTCGCTTGGAGGGACGGGCAGGGAAACCCAGATGTTTGAGCACTAAGGGCTGCAGAACAGAGCGGGGTGCTGAGCTTCTGCCTCTTTGCTTCCTGAAGAGCATGCACGTTAGTCTTCACTGTACGCTCATCTAAAAGGTTTAGCTTGCAGCAGATGGGGAGAAAAGCATGTTTTCCACTATATGTCAGCCCACGAGTTTTCTCACCATCACCCTCCCGAATCTCTCCCCCATCCCACCAGGGGGGAGCAAGCAGCCATGTGGGGGCTCTGGGGTTAAACCACGACACGGACCAATTTACTTCGCCCCAGAATCCCAGAGCTCTCCGAAAACTATCAAAGCCCTCATTTGGCCATATCTCCTTGCTAGAAAATTCAGTGCAGGTGATACCTGCAAACTCAGATTATTAGAAAATAGCTATCTGTGGAATAGAATTATTAAGATCAATTTAAGATGTTTTAACCATTTAACAATTGTGCTGCAGAACACATGCTGATCTTTCGAGGAATAGTTGGAATAACTGTAGGATGAGGAACTCATAAATAATCTGACTTCAGATGGTTTGGCCTTGTAGTGGCAGCTGCAAAGAAATGTAAAGATAAAGAAGCTGCAAATTAGCACCAAAACCAGACCAGGCCAGCCTGGAAGGACAAGATCTATGTGACCACGGGGCTGAGTTTGCACAGAAGTAAAGGTCAGCTGGCAGACACAGTGGAGAAGACTATGAGCCTTCATCTAAAAACCCCCGACGACCACCTGAAGCCCCCAAGAGCCATGCACAAGAGACATTAACATATGCTAAATGAGTTCCCAGGAAAGTTATGAATATGATAAAAATGCAGTGAATATGTATGATGACGGTAGTATAAATGCCCGTTGATTTCATTCTCACACACACACATTAGGAGGAGCTCTCCCCTGTGTGTCCGACGCTGTAATAAAGAATGCCTGCTTTCTAAAACTCCAAAATTGAGTCTTAGAGAGTGAATTAATTACCGCTTTCCGGTTAACACATGGGAGGGAGGTGAGTGGGGAGGAAGGTAATCTAGTCGCACTCCGGCCAAAAGCACCCTGGCTCCCCAGGCTGTGGGGAGCTTGCCGGGAGGCACTCGGACCCACGGAAGTGCCAGGAAACCTCCTGGCCCCGCTGTCCGTCCCACCACCATCCCATCACCGTCCCACCACCATCCCATCGCCGTCCCATCCCCGTCACCGCGGGGGCCAGAGCTGGGGGCTGTCAGCTCCTCCAGCTCGCGGGAGGAGTGAGCTGTGAAACAGCGGCAGGAGGAAGCCAGCCCTGGTTATTTCTGCGGTCGTTACCCAGGTAACACATTTTCTTCTATCGAGAAGTCAGCGGGAGGAATTGTTGCGGGATGACGCCTGCTATTAAGTTTTAAAACAGAGCTAGGAAAAACTAGGTAGGTTGGTTTTGCTGTGGCTTGGCAAAGTCCAAAGTGATACAGCAGTGCCAGTCAACAAATCTGCAAGTAAGTCGTGAGTCAAGCTCGGCTAAAGAAAGAACTAAAGTTAGCACTGAAGTTAATATGCAAATGTAGTCTTTGTTTATTTGCCCACTTCTCTCAACCTGAGTCATATTTTAAAAGTTTTCTTTGCAGGGACTGGAACTTATTACAGCTACATTATATCAATGTGTTACATATGATTGTAGATGTATACATGCACGGAAGCAATTAATCTTATGTAAATAGAAAATGTGAGGAGAGACAGCTTTAAAAAAAAAAAAAAAAAAAAGAGAGTTAGCAATACTGCAGATCATACTAAACCAAAACCAAAACCAAAATTGTCATATCCTTAACAGGTGTTACACTTAGCACACCGGACAAGACATCTGATAATTGAGTAATTATGTTCAGAAGCAAAGCATTCAGTCTGTTAAAACTGATTCCCTTGATGTCTGGCCAGTCAGATTTGGCTTATAAATTTATTCATCCAGCTATTGCTTCTCATGGACATCGCTGTCCCAGGAGGAGTGTGGATTACAGACAGGGGTACAAGACATGCCCAGGTAGTGCTGGAGGACAAACAATAAATGCTCCTCAGACCAAGGTTGGTATCGGGAGATCGCCCTTCCCTCTGCAAAGTTCCTTTAAGTGTTTTTAGTTTACTGCTGTCAATATAATTGGTTAAGATTACACCTGGTACTAGCAGAACCCCAGTTCTTGAACCAAAGCCCCAGTCTGTTAATGGTTCACGTGCGCTTCAAACATGGCTGAAATAGCGGTGGACTCAGCTTATCCACGCTGATGGAAAGATTAATTACATGCAGCTAGCCTGTTTCCAGTGCACCATCTGGTTTGTTTAAAGCTAAACCACCTCTCGCTGCTCTGCGCTGTGGCTTCCTCGTGGATCACCCTGTGAATTTTAGGATGTGCTTCTTAAATGAACGTGGGTCAGACTCTGACCTTCATGAGTGGTGTATTGTAATGGAGGAGAAAGTGGTGATGAATGCAAATGGTGTAATGCAGTGCTGCCTCACTGGCATCTGCCAGTCAGGGGATCATATCTGGCACCCAGTTTTCCATCCCTTAACAGCATAAAGTCTAGCTGCCATCCAGTCTAAGTAAGCTGATGCAGGGAGCATCAGGCTGTGATCATTAAAAAGCTGGTCAACACCGTCACAATATGACACCAAATCTTGTATTTTATTCTATGTGTCATTCATTCTGGAGGACGAATCTAGTTTAACCTTCTAAGGTCATGCTGTGTGATACTCTTAAGAAATATACAGATCACAGCTGGGGAAATTTGCACAATTTTCACAACCATATGGGGCTGGCAGGGTTCAAAATGCTTCAGCTGGCAAGAAAGAGATTAGGTGCATTTAAGAAAATGGTATTTCTTTGCAATATGGTTGCACTATTCATCTCATTGCTTTCTTAGCTGCTGTTCAGAAGCAGTTAGTGTTACCACAGACACTGTTTGTGGTGAACTGCAGACCCGTCCTAACACGGAGGCTCCCTCTAGCCCATGTACAGCAGCAGACTGGAACTGAGGCAGAAATGGGGGTCAAGGCCAGGATAAAGCAGTATTACAGATGTTGAGATTGGAAGCATTTAATAGATGCAGTGGGGATAAGCCTGAGTTTGCTCAAGGCAAGGGTAAGTACGGTTTGACACAAGCTTCCGATCTGCATTGATGCTCTTGTGTCACAGGTTTGAATTCTGATTACTCGCTGAAGGCTTCTGTGAAAGGAAGGAGGCAGCAGGAAATCTCTGCCCAGCACTCTCTGCCCAGAAAAAATCAGCATGCTGCTGTGGAAAATTGTTCTGATGCAGTTAGCACAACGTCGGGTTTCCTGGACCTGAGTCTAGGACACAGTGTGGGATAGAGACCTAAAGCGAGTGGAGCGCGGCAAACAGAATTGTAGGAAATTGGACACAACTTGTTAAGACATGCAGCAAATATTCAGCTACCATTTTTGTCAATAAGGGCTGCCTCTTAGTTAGGCATGTGGCTATCTGTGGATCCCGTGTCTTATTGCAGGGTACAATACATTTGCAGGAGTGTTGCAGAGAGGAGTGGGCTCAAAACTCTCTGGGCAGCGGAAAAATTCTAGTATGAGGAACTGTGTTGTCAGTGGGACTTAATAGTATCACCTCTAGAGCTCACCCCCACTGGTTCAGCATATAGGCATGGGCGTTGCTAAATTTTGCGGGAGGTAAGTTCAGGTACAGATTTGGATGTTTAAAACACTGAAGGCAAGCAGCGTAGCATCTGTCCAAGGATGGCCCTTTATTGTGGAGATTTGTTAGACCTAAACCATTCCTGACAGATTTTTGCCAGACCCATCTGAGCCTCAGTGTGGCTTCACCAACCATAATCAATCGGCACGAAACTTTGAGTAACTTTCTAGCAGCCTCTGTTTCATACCACTGCTTATAGAAATGAATTTGTGAATAAGGTGAAGAAGCTACCAGATTTGTATGAAATCAATATTGTTTCAGGACTAAAATGAAACTATTTGAAAAGAACACCCTGTAGGGCTGGATTTGATCTAAGGGGGTGGATATTCCTCGGTGTTATAGTCTAAATCAGCACTTAATGAAAATACTGTGAGGTTGTCTAATGTACCACACAAGTACCAAGTGACTGTGGATTTATTCTGCATCACTAAAAGCAGTATTGACTTCCATCAGTTTCCTGTTTCACCAGTGTGAATTTTAATGATCACTACAGCATCATTCCTTTAAGGGTATTCTCCTAAATGAAGGAATATTTCTTCTATTCCCCTGTTGTAGGTCATGGCAGAAGAAGAGTTGCCGGGCGTTTTGATTCTGGATATAGGAGGAACTCATGGTGTGCTGGAAAACATTGCAGCACTTTTGAAGAAACACTTTCGCCTTATCACCATGAAGGAATTTCTTGAAAACAAAAAAGAAATGAGCAAAAAAATCCAATCTGTTTTTGTGTTTGAGTGCAGGCCAACTATTGACCAGGAGCTCCTAGAAAGCCTGCCTAATTTAAAGGTAATTGGAAACTCCGGGGTTGGAGTCGATCACTTAGACCTGAAAATGATTTCTAACTTTGGTGTAAAAGTGACCAACACCCCACATGCCGTGGCAGACCCAACAGCAGACATAGGAATGGCCTTGATGCTGGCCTCCGCCAGAAGACTAGTGGAAGGTAATGTTTGAAATTTTCCTGGATCTTAGCTACTTCTTTAACATATCTCACTTTTACGATGATACAGATGACCTGTCTGAATCCATATTTGGGATGCTTTTGTGGGGAAAAAAATTTCTGAGAACTCCATTTTCAGAGGCCTCTGCTTTTCCTATGTCCTGCTTCTTTTTAAGGCAATGGCGACAAGAGTAAGGCCTTTGTTTAAATTATGCACTTTCAAGTCACTTGTGATATCCTGTTTGGATTAATGCCTGGGGCTTAATTCTCCTCTGGCTGTTCACTGGGTGAGTGGCTTATAGCTGTAAAAACTGAATACAAAAGGCATCCAAATCAAATGTCACCACTTCTCCATTTCCCCTTAGAACAAGTGTTAGGAACTACAGGAAAGTACAGAGTGTTAATGGCCATGTCCCTATCTCTAGAGCAATAATAAGTATTACTCTTAATTTTTTTTCCCTGCTTCTGTGAAGAGTTTGTCTAAACCAATGGATTGTACTTCCAGAAGAGCATCAGCATTATTATTGAAATAGCTGGTAATCCTTCTGACAAAGTTATTCCAAACTGTACCACCAACATTAGTTTGTGTCCTTTAAAGGTAGGTCCTTTCCCCACATGCCCTTGCTACGCAATGCCTTTCCAGGGAAGGAAGGTGTCAGTAGAGACTATCACAAGAAGTTGCCTCTGTCTTCAGTGACTCATAGTCTTTCTGTCACTTCTGCTTCACCCCTGAACGTGTACCTCTTTCCCTGTGATGTCTTTTCACTATAGCATCTTGCTGGGCCTCAAGTTCTTTGTATAAAAGCTCATAGAGATCCCTGGCTGAGCTGGAATTTGCAACCTTCACCCCCACTCAAGCAGTGGGGCCGCTTTGGGTTGTGATCCAGGACAGAAATGGTGAGATTTACCCGAGCTAAAGGAAAGTGAAGCCGATGCTTGTGGGGTGGTAAGCGTCAAAGAAGCTACTTTTGAACTTCCCAGAAAATGCTGCAGCCATGGAAGAGTTATTTCCCTGAGGAGCCATTCATCCCAGTACAGCACCCACCCACGAGCCCCTCTGTGTTACTGGCTCCAGCCCTGGCTGCAGGGAATGGCACCATCCAGGCTCTTCTGTAAACTGGTCAAAATTAGCAAGGGTGCTTTGTAAGAGGTGCTCCAGAGCCCCACTGCTGTGACGGTGACAAAGTTTTTCTTTCCCCAATCCTACGTTTATGTTCGGTTTGTACCCATTTCGCACCCATTTACATTCAGGCTGCCAGATTGCGGTTTCTCCAGACACGAAGTGTTTTGCTGTTGACTGGCTGGGAGTGGAAGTAACCAGGGCGACGCTTGGGATCATCGGGATGGGCAGCATTGGGTACAAAGTGGCTCAGAGAGCCAGAGCCTTCGACATGAGGATCCTGTACCATAACAGGAACCGGAGGTAAAAGCGACCGGTTTCCACATGTGATTATTCTGGGGGCAGTGATGGAAACCACGGCTTCTTCCTAGGCACTTGTGGCAGCTGTAAGCAGCACGAGGAGCACCAGCATGCTTTGGCTCCCTACTGCTCCCCTCGAGAAGCAGCTCCCCCTCACCTCCTGCGCTCGCCCTGCCCCCGTTAGCTACTAGCAGTTTGGCACAAGGGCTGGGTAACCTTTCTGAAGGTGTTGTCCAAGCCAGACAGGCCTTGTGCCCTCATTGTGCCCCCTGTCCTGCCAGACTCTTTTTCAGGCTTCCAGCAACATCCCTGGCCCAGCCAGCCAGCCACCCCTCTCCAGATCACTCATCACACCAGCATCAATGACAAGGGTCTTAATTTCTCTTAGTTTTCTATTTCCCTTTCTTTCAGACTTCACTTCCCCTTCATTTCTTTTCCACCCCAAGTCTGAACTCACGTATCAGGGAAGGAGAGACTCTACAGGGCTCGGCACAGACGCGGGAGAGAAGAGTGGGGTCTGACTGCATCCCCAACCTTCTACACCTAACATCGCCTATGTGCTTTGTTTTCACACATACATCACTCCTTCAGGCTCCCACCACTCCTCTAGCCTCTTGCTTGCTCTAGCCCACATCCTTCTCGCCTCCCTTCCACCATTTGTACCAATCAGTGTATTTTCCTTTACCTTGGCCTCAAACCTCTGGATCTCTATGCTGTTTCAGATCTCTCCTAGGGTTGATTGGTTAGTTAGAAATAGCCATGTCAGTTCTGAGGTGTGTGCATTTTTCCTTCAGAAGAAAGGAGGAGGAAGAGGCAGTTGGTGCCCACTACTGTGAGAAGATGGAAGACTTGCTGCAGCAATCAGACTTTGTTATGTTGGTTGTGAACCTGACTCCTGAGACTCACAAACTGATTGCGAAAAAGGAGCTGGGGCTGATGAAACCCACAGCTACTCTTATAAACATCAGCCGAGGTAGGACGATCTGGAAGCACTGTTTGTGGCTCCACAGTTAAGGCTTTGTTTTGTCTGATTATGTTGACGTTCCCCCCTCCAACCTCAGTCTGTGATATCCCTGTTTTGTTTGAGTCGTGAAGTAGCTAGCAGTCTACAAATGAATGACATCAAAGATCAGGTGCTTTGTGTTCAGAGGTCCTATGGAATTTAGGGATGCTCTGCAGATGTTCTGTTCTCTTTATCCTTATCCTAAAGGCAGCTTTTTTTTTTTGGTGGAAATAACTGAAAGGTTTATCATCACCGATGGTGAGTGAGGTACAAGGAAAAACATAAGTTTCATTTGGAACAGCTATGTAGAAAAGAACCCCCACGTGGGGTTACAGATCTGTTAGCACTGGACAAGCATATGAGAGAGATCATAGTTTCAGTAAATAAAGCTGAGGTAGAAGAGTGAAAAACTTGAAGAGATTAAATGAATTGTCTATAATAATACAGGAAGTCGGTGTCAAAATGAGGAAGAGAGTGAAACTGGTCACATCCCAGGAAAAGCCTTATGTAGTGGACCATAACCCTCCTCTAATTAAAGATTAATTTAAAAATAAATCTGTGGTTTGTTTGGTAAATGGTTGTTAGAAAGACATTCTACTTTCTAACAAGATGAAGATCCTGTAATTTTTCTCACTAGACCCTGGAGACCTTTCCCCACTCCTGGGTAAAAATGTGTTCATTAACTCAGCACGATAGCAAGATTTCATCTCGGTGCAGGTGGAGTTATTGATCAAGACGCGTTGGTAGAAGCTCTCCAGAATAAGGTTATCAGGGCTGCTGCTTTGGATGTGACATACCCTGAGCCTCTGCCAAGGTAAAGAAACCTGGTTTCCATTCTGTTAATCTGAAATGTTTTAAACTGTGTGCAAAAACGTGCTCATAATCTTGATCGTCGTGGGCGGTCTCTCTCGCTGCTTAAGGGCAAAACCTCAGCCTGTCTCACACAATCATAAATAGATGACAACCTATTCGCCTTTCCCCCATCTGTCAGTTCTTTGCCAGCCTAACTGAAAGGCAAGGCAATGAGCCGGGTAGAGAGGAAGACAAAATGGGTGAGCAAGCTTCCCCCAGCTTTCAGCTGGTTCTGTGCTTGTGGCCCTTTTATCTCGCCATGCCACTGCTGTTTCCTGAGGTTCAGTTCTTGGCAACTGGCATGGGATAGCTGCAGAGTAAATTCCCTGTGTAACACATTCTGTTCTTTCTGTTTCTTACAGAGATCATCCTTTATTAAAACTAAATAACATCATCATAACCCCTCACATTGGAACAGCAACAGTCCATGCTATACACAGGATGGCAGAAGAAGCGGTAGCAAATATACTGGCTGTTCTCAATGGCCAGCCCATTCCAAGTGAAGTGTTTCCCAAATGATGTGTGCCCGAAGATACCACTAAATCTCATATGTGTGGGAAGGCACTATTTCTTACAGTACCACTTTTAAACTAAAAAAGCAACCTGGTCCTGCACTGCACTTGTCCTGATACTGCAAAGTGTCATCTCACTAGACTTGATCCGTACTGTTATTTACAATTCTGAAAAATAAAGTGGAACTAGTAAAAGAGATTTGTTTGAAGCTTTTAAACTGAGCAGCTATGCACTTGGATCTCTTCGGTCCATTATTTCAATGAATACCTGTGTTCTGTTCCCAGTACTTGACGCTACATAATGATAAGCAAGTATACCAAGCAGTTTGTGTAACACACTCAAATATGTTAAAGGTGAATTGAGCATTAATTCCCTGCAGAAATTTGGCTGCATCCTGAAACACTTTTCAGCTAATATTGCAATATTTTATTTGTATATCAAAACACTGAAGAAAATGGACTCCTTTGAAATGATCGTAGGCCTAAGGTTTTCTAATGTAAGAAGAGCTCTGTTTCACCTACATGTTAAATCAAAGCAAATCCAATCATTGAAAAAGTATCTTTGATTTTCCTGAGGGGATCCTTTGAAAATCAAAGCAAATTCCAAGAGATTTCATTCCTCCATGCAGACAAAAATGATGCTTTTATCTTGACTGGCCATGAAACAATATTAGATCTACCACTGAAATCACGTGAGTGAGGGCACAGGCTAAAGCAAAATTAGTGATCAGTCCTAACTTGCAGCCCAGGGCCAAGTATTTTCTTACATGTTCTTTTCTATGAGCAAGCAAGAAAGTCAAAAAATTCAGTAAAATATTTGCCACCTCCATAACATCAGGAAGCCTTTCCAGTGTTTTGCAATATGATCAGGCTTCTTGAAGGGATGTTAAAATGAAGTTTTAGCACAGAAGGTGTAGGCAGGCCAAGAGTTAGACATTCAGCTGCAAATAGTGAAATGTTACTAACAGCAAGAATTGCAGTAACAAGACAACATCAATAGGGGATTCCAAGATCTTCAGCCCTTCAACAGCTCTCCTCGCAGCTCTTCCCGGAGTTCCTATGGAAAATCAATGGTAGCTGTAAATAAGCTAATTAAATTAAATTAAAAAAAAAAAAAGCCGTAAATTAATTTCACAGACCTTCTGGGAGCTACAAACAGATGGTCAGTAATTCCTGAAAAAAAAAAAAACAAACACGTTTCAATTTGAGTGCATAAACCCTTCTTGGAAAACACTTGCCTAAGCATCTATTATTTTGTTAACTTACGATAGCCTCAGGAGACAGCACTGCAGTTAAGAAGTCACTGGTGTCTCTTCAGGACAGGAGGCTGCAAAAATCTCTGCAATGGAGTGTTTAAAAATTAACCCGATAACTCAAAGTTCATGATGAAGCTGTGCAATTTATATTCACAGATTACATTTGGTCCAACATTTTTCTAATTTGTGTTTTCAGGGTAGGGAAGGAGATTCATTGCACCAGACTACTGATGGTCTGAAACTAAGTAATTAAGGAGAAGTAATTGTGTGGTATGAGCCTGGTGGCAGGGATATGAAACCCTGCAGACCATGAGGGACAAAACTTGTTCAGACTTGATTATGTGAATGCCTCTGCTTGTGTGTGCAGAGTTGGTAGTACGCTTAAAAGAGCTGCTTTCTTGTCTTGGCTTGTTTGCCTCCCTATCTAAAATTGTGGTTTATAAAATCTCTTGTCATAGGTGTCATGAACAGGACATGAAAGTCGTTATTCCTTTAACTGTCTGGAAGCAGTCTTTCTTCTGACACTTTGTGCCTTTCTTCTTTGTGCAGATGATGGGAGGAGGAGAGCTACCCGGGCTTTTGGTAAATGAAATTGGTGGCATACATGGGATACTGCATGGCCACGTAGCACTCCTGAAGAAACATTTCAGCCTCATCACCATGAAGGAATTTCTTGAAAACAGAAAGCATATGAGTGAAAAGGTCCAAGCGATCTATCTGTGGTGGCACAAACCATCCATCGACCGGGAGCTCCTCCAGAGCCTGCCAAACTTGAAAGTGATTGCGAATTCAGGAGTAGGGATGGATCACCTGGATCTGAAACTTGTAGCTAGCTTTGGTGTGAAGATGGCTAATGCTCCACGTGCTGTTTCCAGCAGCACGGCAGATACGGGGATGGCTTTGCTGCTGGCATCTGCTAGAAGACTAGTGGAAGGTAACATCTCAGTTCTTTTGTGGCTTCTAAAAATCATAAAAGATTTACCTGCCATTAACTTGGCTTTTCCTAGAATTATCTGTAGTGCACATGGTTTCACATAAAATGTGAGAAATTAAATATGCTGGGTTGGCAAATAGAACAATTGGTATTTTCCTATGTTTCATGTATCATAAATATATCTACATTATTATGTTATACACAAACATACACAGCATTTATTTCAACCAGGTATAAATAAAATCATACGAGTTTAGTTTTCACAGGTCACCAGCCTGGCCTGAAAATACTTGAGCAGAATCTAATCACATTTGATTCAAATACAACTTTTTGCTTTATGGACCAAATACTCTTAGAGGATGGAATTTAGTTTTTGGAATAAATATAGCTGTAGGCTTAGTTTAACAGTTTCAGATGCACAACACATTAAAGTGTGCTTCCTACGTATGAAAACTTGGAATTTCATTACCTCCTTCAGCAGCGCATTTTCAGTGATTCTGACATTTGGCTGACGTACGACGTGTGCTTCGTGGTGTGATAGCATTACAGGGCTGTTGGCCAGAAGTGGGGGATGCCAAAGATCAGACGATCGCTGCAATCGCAGGCTGGCAGAAGAAATTAAGAGTGTGGGGGGCAACAATGGAGCAAAATAAGGGTATATGCTGGAAGCTGGGGCTGACAGAGGCATGGCCATATGCTCAGGGACTGAAATGGATTGGTGCAGAATTGGGGATTTTAAGGGGCATTAAGAGAGCAAAAAGGCAGCCTCCTCCAATTTCTGCTAGTAGCATCCTTTCTAGTTTCTTCCACAGTTTTTTCTTGCCATTTCCCCAAACAGACCTACCCTTGGCTTGGTTGGAATGCCTCCTGCTTCAGGAAGAGATCCTTCAGATTGAGCCTATTAAATTTGCCTCCCACTGATTTGCCAGCTGTACCACTGGATTCGTAGAAACTCAGAGGAGACTTGCCTCCCACTAAATCTGTTTCTACTTCACACAGAGGAGACAGATTAAAAGGGAGATTAATTTCTTCTTCCCATTTACGTAAATTATCCCTGGTGGCATTTCTGATAGCTCTGCCCTGGCGCGACTGAGATATCCTGAGGCATATTTTTGATACTTTCACAATATTTTTCTTATGTTTTAGAAGAGGTGGCAGTATCAGAAGACTGGAATATCAGAAGACTGTCGCCTTGCTAGCAGACTAATAAGTGCTGTCTCTGTGCATATTAGTGTATTTTCTGTCCAGAACTATCCAAAATATTGCAGGTTTAATGGATATTTATGGAAACTACTGAGTAGTGATTTTTAAAGAAGTCACACTTTTCTTTCCAAGGAGAGTGGCAGAGGTAAACAGGAAACCTGTTTTTATTCTAAATAGCAAAACCAACATCTGGTGTTATTCTCCACGTGACATTTCCAAACTCTGCAGTGTTCCTGGCAATAATTATTTTGATTGCTGATGCAGAACAGGGCAATATTTTTAAGAGTCTAAAGCAGGATTTTTAGGGGTGATTACATCAAAAGGCTTTTTGTAGTATAGTGAGAATAAATGGGAATGTCACATAAATGTGGCAGAGAAAGGTGATATATTAGGGAGTCACCTAGGACACTACAAAAAACATTGCTATTTAAAATCGTGTGTTTGGAGCTGTTAAAAGTGTGCTATGGTAGCACAACAAGCCCAGACTCTTTTGCCTTGTTCCTCAGTGTTGGACCCCATTAATTTCTCATACCGGAGTGTTTTTCTTGCAGGCTATCATGCTGCAGTTTCAGGTATGGAGTACCGTGAAGCTGATTTCTTGGGAGTTGAAGTTACTGGAGCTACTCTGGGTATCATTGGCATGGGCAGCATTGGGTATAAGATTGCTCTGAGAGCCAAAGCGTTTGAAATGAACATTTTGTACCACAACAAGACACAGAGGTAAAGATACGTCTTGACCCTAATTACATCAGAAATTCCCTTTTAGATAGTATTTCCTTTTCAAGGAATTATGTCAGGAGTATAGCGAGAAAGGAGGGAATAGGGCCAAGATTAAAACACAACCAAACCCAAACAAAAAAATAATTTTGCCAAGTATTTATCTGGAGGTCACTTCTAGCCCCTCCTAACTGTGTACGGGGGAATCTGATCCTTGTTAGAGATTCAGCCCAGGGGCTCCTCAGTGTAAAGGTGAGCAAGATCCCCACGTACAACTCGAGGCTGTTGCAATCAGGAAAGGTGCAGCCAACAGGCAGAACAAATGTTTACTGCTATAAACCGTGATCTACCCTGAGATGACTTTACTCCACCCTGACTGAAGGGAGAAGCTGCAGGGCTGCTACATGTGGCTTTCAGTGATTTTCTGCGTATGCAGGCTGCAGGAGGAGGGTTACTGCTCTAGCGAGCCCTAACCAAATCACAAGGGGGAATAAGGCCAGAAATTCCTAGCCTTGCTTGGCATTCCTGTTACGTCAGAAATTGTAAAAACAGCTGAGCAAACTCACATTTTAAAAAGTACTAGAGAACACCCTCCTTAAGATCTTTCAGAATTTCTTCATAAACCACAAAAAGGTGAAAATAAGGCACAAATGCTGCTTCCCCCCCCCCCCCCCCCCCCGCGGATCATCACTAACTCCCTCTGTTTAATATTTTTCATTTTTTAATGTAATATTTCTATGAGTGCTGTGATGAATAAGTAATGCACAGTGCAACAAAAATGAAAAACCTGCTTATTTTAAAGTACATTTACACTTCAAGTTGATGTGCTGAAGTGAGATGCACTCTGTGTTCTGCAAAACTGGCTGTAGTTCCAGTCTGTTCTTTACTCATTTAATCCCTGGTTGTTGGCCTGGACACTGAAAGAAAACAGTGAAATGCATGAGTTAGGAGACACATACTCCAAAGTTCCACTGAAGTTATTTTCTTAGTGTGACTTCTTTCTTTAGTTTTAGATTAGGGAAGAGATAATTTAAAGCCATTCTTTTGCAATTGGGAGTAGGTGATTGTACACACAATCTCCTATCATTGCTTCTTTAGTTCCCAAAGTTCCGGCAGGTAAATTTACAAAGAACAGGAGAAATGGCAAGTATTCTGTTTTACTGTGAAAAGTTTGAACCAAAAATCTCTTTCTACTTTGGTAACATTTTGTGTTGAACGCGTTGTTTTGTGAAAGCCCTGGGGCAGCCAGGAGCCTGGGGAAGAGCTGCCTTGCTGATTCCACTGGTGGGGAAATGGCAGGCTGGCTGGAGGATGCCACGGGGCCAGGACCGCGGGCATGCTCGCAGCTCGCAGGGATGGGTTCTGGTGAAGGGCACGGCTCTGCTCTGAGTGACTGCCGCGTCCTGTGAGGTGCACCTTCCCCACAGGGCATCCTGGAGACTGGACCCTGTTGCCATCTGTTGCACTGCTTGGCCTTAGCCGAGTTGCAGGCTTTAAAAGAGGCCCCTGGACCCGGTATTACAGCGGCCGAGAGGCAGACCTGCAGTCCACCCCCTGCTCTAGGGCTTGGAGCCCTCCAGAAGGGCCTAAACAGCCAGCTGAGACTAAATTCACCATATACCAGTGACATCACTGAGGAAAATATTTTCGTGACCGATGCCTGGAAATACAGTGCGATCCTTTTTTTGCCCACCAGGAAAGAGCAAGAGGAGCAAGCTGTCGGCGCCGCTTACTGCGAAAAGCTGGACAGCTTGCTCCAGCGGGCAGATTTTGTGATGGTGGTGGTGAGCCTGACACCTCAGACGCACAAGCTGATTGGGAAAAGAGAGATGGAGCTGATGAAGCCCACGGCTACTCTCATTAACATCAGCAGAGGTACCGTCCCGAGTCTGATGGGGGAATACCAGCCAGCTGCTGTTGTGTTACAGGCTGCACCGCGCTGCATCCACCGCACACGGCCGGCGCACACGCAGATCGGGCAGGGCCAAAATGACTCTCTGTGCCTTTCTAATTCTCTTTTCACTCTCAGATCATCGCCTGCAAGTGGCACTCAGGGACATTCTTATTCCAAACCAGGTGCCGTAGTTGACCAAGAGGCGCTGGTGACAGCTCTGCAGAGCGGTGTTATCAGGGCCGCAGCTTTGGATGTCACCTACCCGGAGCCACTGCCCAGGTTTGCCATCTCTGCTTCTTTCTCAGAAACCAGGCGTGAGCCCGGGGGCATCGCTGTGGCAGGAGGGGGTCTGGCAGAGGCAGCTCCAGCCCCCCCGCCCCGGGGGTGAAGGGTTCTGTAAAAGTGCCATGAATACGAATGGGATGCCGAGGTCCGGTAACAGGCCTGGGCGCCAGAAAACAGCAGGAGGGGGGCTGGTGTGCCCAGGGGAGCACGAAACCCACTCCACGGAATCACCATGTGAAGCTGCGGCTGCTTCACATACAAATGGCTTTATCTGAAGGTTCCGCCTGGCGGGAATGGGCGGTGGGTGCTGAGCCAGGCCCCCCTCAGGCCTGCTGCATTGCCCCGAGGCTTCCTGCCCCGCAGGCCTGCTTCCCAGTGCCAGGGGCCTGCTTCCCAGTGCCAGGGGCCTGCTTCCCAGTGCCAGGGGCCTGCTTCCCAGTGCCAGGCCCAAGTCCCGCACGTCTCCTGGGCACAGAGGCTGCTTACTCTCTGTAAAAAGGCTGCCAGAACGGTGCCTCACCGGCTGGACTATGCTGGCTGCATTTTGGGTTGGGTTTGGGGGTGGGGTGGGGGGGAGTTTGCTCTTGTTCTGTCTGCGCTGCATCCTGCGGCTCAGGCCGTTGCATAGGGTTAATGTGTCAGGAGGGCTGAATCCTCTCTTGGGACATAGTTCAAATTGCTGCCTAATGTCAAAAGGGCCTGTTTCTGAACAAAAGAGCCCAGTATAAACTCTTAACATGTCCTTTAAATGGCCAGAATTACTTGAACAGGGCTGATCAGGTTCTGTGGATGTAAGCAGGGCTTGTAAAGTTACATTAAATTAACTTTATATATATTTAAATACAGTGCAAAAGCCAAAGCAGAACTCCTCTTTATTTAGATTAACAACAGTAGGTCATTTAATTCTTTTTTCCTTTCTTCCAGAGATCATCCATTGTTAAAATTAAAGAATGTCATTATAACACCACACCTTGGCATCAAAACAGACAAGGCCACCTCCATGATAACAGAGGAAGCAGTTGAAAACATACTAGCGGCTCTTCATGGTCTCCCCATACCCAGTGAAGTGCTGCCTAGCTGATGTGCAAAAGGGTATCACAGCTCTCTTTTTATTCTTCTCTTTCCCCCCATCAGCTCTAAAGGTATTTATTCTTATGTTTTCCCCATAAGGAGAAACTTATTCCAAGTGGACACGGGAAGCTCTAACCTGGTCTCACACGTCACTAAAAAACAGCTTTTACATTTTAATTTCCTTGCAAATTGGACAAATACATTACTTTTCACTTCCAACCGTAGATAGATACATGCAAGCTTTAAGTGGCTCTGGGAAAAAAACAACTTCTGATTGCCAATGCACTTCTCACTAGGCTCCCTAGTCCGAAAGAGATGTCGTTTTAGATTACATAATTCACTTTATTCCCACTCTATTCGCTGTCAAAAACAACAAAGTAAGCTACCTGGCTAGAAATATTACTGACTTTCCATATGGAAGTCTCCATTTAAGCTAGCTCCTGAGACACAAAACGCTGGGGCAAAAGTCAGTTTTCATAAATAAACTCAGAATCACTTATTTAAAGCAGACTGGATTTTAGAAGATAGAGTACTAGCACTAAGGAAAATTAATCTGCAAGATGAACATGGCACTATGTAATGCCAAATTTATGTGTAGTCTACCTCCAGATTCTCAACTTTGTGCAAATATTTGGAAGCCTCCATCACCATTCTGTAAATTAGTGGGAACACAAAAAGCCTGTGAAAACACATGCAGCATTGAAACCCAAATCTATACATTTTCTTTTGTATCACTGCTTCTGGACATTTGTAAGAATAATTATATTTGAAACACGATATAACAGGGAGCTTCACTACTGTAAAGAGAAGAAAATACTTTGACAAATTGGTTTTGTTACTGCAATAATTATTATTACAGAAAAAAAGTCAAAATCCCATGGCTTTCCTCCACTACAAATAGCACCTATATTACAATTAGTCATTCAAATTCCACAGGAAGAAGATCTCTTTAAATAGAAGAATGCTCATCCACCTCACTAAATCTTTGTAGGAAACAGTTTGCCATCCTCTCAGTTGTCTTTATATACTCTCTGTTCTCTTAACACAAGTCCAAAAGCTAAATAAACCAATACACAACTCACAGTGGCAGCGGTGTGCCTTTTGTTATGTAGTATGACTCTATGGACAGTGTGATTATCTAATCTATCAGTGAAATTTATAACAAAATTACCATTAAGTACAACTAGGATTTTGCCATTATGCACCTTTACAGAGCCATTACCACTTGGTTTTTCTTGCAGAAGGTTGTCACTGGTGCTTGCCAAAAGACACTTCCTTCCACCAGTTTAACATATGATGATGTTATCAACCCTCGTGGCTCAGGGAAACAAGACACTGAAGCTTTTCAGGAGCAGCAGGTTGCCTGGCAAGAATTTCAAGACTGTCCCAGGTACCTCCCTGTTCTCCGAGGTACAGGAGCCCAGTATGCCTTTCCTTGTCACCTGTATGACCTTGACAAAAATAGGTTAAGTGTATTCTTTCAAAATAAAAGGCTAAGCAATACATTACAGAGATGAAATTAAAGCCACAAGACGTTAGAATTGCAGAGAGAAGAAAATACCTTTTATTAGATCAATATCCTAAAACTGGAAAAACTGCACAAGGTTTTGCACACGCAAACTTTTCTCCCGATGTGAAGCAGCAAACGTGAAATCAGATACAGTACTTCATTTCACTGCTACATAACCCAATAGAACATGCTTGGCGTTTACTGGGAGATCTACTTTTTGCAGACCTTTCAAGAATCTGGGCTGATTAATTACAGAATTGCTCCCTGCCAGTGGGGTGCTTTAGACAGGAAGACACGCTGCCAGACCTGTCAGTCACTGGAGTGATGGGTTGACTCAGATACAATGCCAAACCAAACGACTTGGAATTCCACAGACTGGAACTCATCACCTGAAGGGCAGCTTCCCAAAATCTCTTCAGGAAGCAACCACCTCTCTTTTCTAATTACAGTGCTAAAAAAGGCCCTTTTTCCCACGCCTTCCCTTAATTTATAAATATTTATTGAGTAGTATCAAATGAACTGACATACATTTAAGGAAACCTTCCTGTGCTTGCCAGATGCTGCTTCCCATTTCTGCTATTCTACTTAGATTGTACTTGGAAAACACAATACCTCCAATCTTATGATTACTAAAATGCAGTGGCCACATGAGCAAAGAGATGATCCGTTGCAGTTCACTCTGTTGATTCAGCTTCGTTTGAAACATTTTCACTTGGGCTGGCCTTGCCTGAAACAACAAGCTCATGAACATAGATTTCCTGTCTCTGCTTTTTTTGTCCTCTGAATCCTGGTCACATACAGTATTGCTTTATAACACATCATGTAGATAGGGGAAATGTATGTCCTTATCCAGTTTCGTGCTTAAGCTAGTCTGTGCATTCCACCTGGGAAATGTAGCACCTTACATTATACAAAAGTATTTTTAGGCTAATGCTTTTAGGCTAACCCTAAAAAACAATTATTATGCAAGCAAGTTATTAACACTGCGGGCACCAGCTTTGCCCTGCAGTGTTACGTGGACACCAAGAGCAATATTTAAACATAGGAATGAAGTTCACAACCTGCGCAGTACTTCTCTCCCCACACCCACAGCCATTATTAATTTCAGAGAACTATGTCACAACGCTGGTATAATAGATCCCTTTTTATAATAGAAAAGTAATAGCACACTGCAACACCGTGTAATTCAGCTTAACACACTACAGGGAAGTCTCTAAGGTACTCTACAAATTAAATCTATTTAGAACATGACAGTGCACTGGTGCAACAATCTCATCTTGTTTTACATTAACCAGACTTAGCTTATGGTAACTTGTTTGGTTGCTGCTCACACTCTGTGACATTCTGTGACCCAGTAATCCCAACAGCTCCCCTACAGAGATGTATCAGCCCTGAACCATAACTTGAAAATTAGATATCTCGGTTACACAGACTTGGAAGCCATCTGATTCTCTCCACATGAACCACATAATAGACCCATTTGGTTGACATTTGATATGTATGTCATGGATTTTTTGCTTTAAAAAGAGTAACATTCCTCTGGCTATTATTTGTTTGGCTCCTGACTAACTGCTCCTTCATTTTGTTCATCCAGAATTGTTGATTTGATATACGAAGGGAAAAACTACCATGTTGTCCTTCCAAAATTTTTTTTTTTTTTCACCATCACTACTAAAATGTGGTAGAACTCCTTCCTCAATTCACAGCGAGAAAGACTTTTATCTTTGAGGGGAGCTTTACAATGGTCCTTTGATCTCAGGTAATGTGAGCAGTAAGTTAAAAGATCACCCATTATGTCTTATCAGCAAACCTGGAAGTGGTTGATGTGAAACAGAGAATGTGTAAGCATTTTAGGGTTGCTTGGTTGTTTTTTTAAAAAAATTCAGGTAGACTTAACTAAGAATTGAGTTAATATGGCTGTAACTCCATCTTGCTAGTTAATGAATTTTTGCTTTAAAGTTAAACTGTCGGTACTTGAAATCCACGTAAGTGAGCGATACTCAAAAATCATCACCAGGAAAACAAGAACAATTTATGAGTTTGTGTAATTTTTACAACATTTTGTTATACTTCTACCTTTTCATTAGTCGTTTCATAGAGGATCTGGTGTTAAACTCGGCTGCCTTAATGTTCAGCTTATCCAAATGCGTTTGGCGGAGTCCAAGAAGACGCGATTTCGTAATCCCTTCTCTTGCGAGAGCACGACAGCCGAGACGCAGCGGTGAGCGAGCAATCGCCGGTTATTTCGCAGGGTGGAAGGGGAGAGATGCCCGGTGCCAGGCCCCCTCACCCGTGTGTCTGCCGGCCACCGGCACGGCAGGGCCCCTCGGCCCAGCGCAGGCTTAGCGAGCTGTGCCGGGCAGCCTCCAGCGCCGGGGATTTACAGCCCCACTAACCCCGTCAGGGGAACTGTCGCACGTTTCTCGGCGGGGACAGGCACAGGGCTGCTGGTAGCTGGGGTGACAACTGCAGCGACGGCACCCCAGCCTGCCGCAGTCGCTTAGCTCTCCCAGAGGGGTTTTGAGGGTATTCTTAGAATCATTTCAGTTGGAAAAGCCCTCGGTGTGTGTTATAAATTGAGACCACAATGGATCATAATCCAATTATAATTTTATTAATTATAGCAAGTAGAATATGAGCAAAGACAGCGCTGGACGGCAGGGGAGTCTGCGCTCCGCCATCTGCCGCACTGATCAGTTCAAACAGTTCCTTTTTATACATTTTTACATCCGTGGTTGTCTTTAATCAGTACCCCTTCTGCTTGCACAAGCGGTACCTGGTTTGTGTAAGCAATTGCGGTTATCTTGTCTCACACAAGCGGTGTCTGGCAGCTGTTTGCATAAGCGGTTTTTTGTCTTTTGCCGCCTAACCTTTACATTGAGCTTAACATAAATTTCAATAAACAATACCCTAGTTCATAGTTTCTTACAGTGTGTGCAATCAGATCTGTCTAGTGGTCAGAGAGAGCTCTGTGCCACGTTAACTCACACGGGAATGGTGTAATGACCGACAGAGAGGCCAGCGTCTATCTGGTATTCAGAGGCGGTATGGAAAAAAAGCAGCGTGCTTTGGCACTAACGCCGAAACTGCTAACAGAACGCGCAGAACCACGCCGCATTTTCAGCAGCATGCGATTATTTGTGAACACCCGTTGCTCTCTCTCTTCCCTCGGCTCCCCAGTTGGGGTTCGGGGGGGGATGCTCTTTCCCTCCGCCCTGGCACCTCCCCTCCCCCTCGTCACCCCAGCCGCGGAAGCAGCCCCGCGGCCTGCCCCGCTCCGCCCTCGCCCTCCCGCGGCCCCACGGCACAGCTGGGGCACAGCTGGGGCACAGCTGGGGCACAGCCGGGGCACAGCCGGGGCACAGCCGGGGCACAGCTGGGGCACAGCCGGGGCACAGCCGGGGCACAGCCGGGGCACAGCCGGGGCACAGCTGGGGCACAGCTGGGGCACAGCGGCGGCGAGCGGGGCGGCCGTGGGTGAGTGCTGCGGGGGGGGGGGGGGGCAGCGGGACACCCTGGTCCCCATTCCCCCACGCTCCGGAGCCTGGGGATTTGGTGAGGGGGGAGTGGGTGGTGCGTGTGTGTGTCTCGTCCCGTCAAACCGGTGGTGCGAGAGCCCTGGTGCCTTGTTTCAGCAGCCCCGGAGCTGGGGTCGGGCCCAACACACCCGTGTGTTTTCTGTAGTTCTGTCCTTACAGCTGTTCCCCACGTGGGTGAGGGGCAGCGTGCGGGGTCTCAGGTCCCTCCCCTGAGATCACAGCCTGGGTTCTTTCCAGGGTCGGCAGAGAGACTTGTCAGGACGCTGAAGGAGACCGAGGAGGAGAAAAAAAAAAAAAAAAAAAAAAAAAAAAAAAAAAGAAGGGTAAACTCTTATGTTTGGGATATGTTTGGAATTGGTAACTCCAAAGTTCCTGGTTGACAAATGATGGCTCTGTTATATTAAATGAGATTTTTCCTGACATAACCTCGATAATGCTAATTACTTAATATGGTCACGTAGGTGTCAATCAAATGCAGAACTTGGGGGTTAAAAGATATCCTTCTACTCACATGGCCTCATTCTTAAATTATCAAGACTTTGGCCTTTACATATTGAACAGGAGTAACATCTAGTAAGTCTTTTGCTTAAATGTTAGCATAGCTGGCATGCCAGAAACAATGTTTTCTTGTCTTATTAACGTGATTATATAAAAACTGAACATCTTTCTGAATAACACGGAACACAAGAAAAGTTCTGCATGTGGGAGAGAATATCTTTAGCCAGCTCTGTCATCAAGTGGGAAAACTGTGTAATGGAGCCAGTCAATTCCTGTTTTTAAAAAAGGTGTAATGGGCCACTTAAGGACATGTCCTTTTGCTTTCTGGTTGCTTTTGCAGGGCATGGAAAGTCAGGAACTGCCTTATGTGTTAATTGACTGTATAGGAGGGTGGCATGGAGTATATGAAGATCATGTTGAATTTCTGAAGAAACGTTTCCACCTCATCACCATGAAAGAATATCTCGAAAACAAGAAATTTCTCGGCAAAAAGATCACAGCTATTTATATGTGGTATCACAAACCAGTTATTAACGAAGAGCTGCTCCAGAGCTTGCCTAACTTGAAGATAGTTGCAAGCTCTGGAGTGGGAATAGATCACTTGGACCTGAACCTCCTCTCTAGGTGTGGTGTGAAAGTGTCCAACACTCCGTTTGTTGTTTCCACTGACACTGCAGACTTGGGGATGGCTTTGATGCTGGCGTCTTCCAGGAGAATTATAGAAGGTAATAAATGAAATGGTTTTAGTTTTTTTATAGAAAAGGTGACTCTTCAAAACATGCAGTTAGAAAGCGTGTGCTGATGCAAGGCTAAGCGTAAAAGTTGAAATACAGGAAAGTACAGGGATGAGGAAGAAATTAAGACAAATCCATCATGCTGACAATAACTTGCACACAGGGCATACCGTTTCCAAACAGAAGTATCAGCAAGGTAGAGGTGTTCCTTCTTCAGACAGCCCTAAATTCGAGCCCCTTCTCCCTCAGCCCACAGCCACTTATCTGTTGTGCTTGTTCACTGCAGTCTTGCTTTTCAGGTTTTAATAAAAGGGGATTAAAAGGAGATATTTTCAAGGAGGCTTGAAACCTGTCTTTGCCAAGCTGACGTGTATCTGAGTCATTACAAACAAGCTGCCCAGAAATCTGTCCACTGTGCTCCCTGTTTCTTTTCCCTGCCCACTTTGGTGTATCTACGAGGTAGCTGAGAAACATATTTTGGCCTTACTGCAAGTCTCGACTGTTCAGTATTGACAACGCGGGTGACATCCACGGCACTGCCGGTTTCGCCAGCCCTGCCGAGGAGCCGCTCAGTGAGTAAGAAGCTGTGGTGCCGCGGCACGTTCACACGGCTCAGTAAGGCATACTGTGGGCAAAGAGAGATGGTGAGCAGGTGTGTGAGGTGCATCGAAGGGAGCTTTGCCCTTACCTTCCTTGTCTGCCAAAGAGGGGCTGGGTAGGTTTCTATCCTAAGCCAGAGATCAGTGTCAGATGTCACGCTGACAGTGCGGCGTTACTCACTTCTTGTCCGGAAACACCGTAACACGTTACTGCTCCTGTGCTTCTGCCTTGTCTTACGATAAAAAGTAAGTGGGGGGAAAAAAAGTAACCAGATGCCAGGACATCTTTTATGTGATGTATTCCTTCTTTTCCCTCCTCCAAGGTCATCAGATTGCAGTCTCCCCCGACACGGAGTATTTCCCCGCTGACTGGCTGGGGGCCGAGGTTTCTGGGGCGACCCTGGGGATCGTGGGGATGGGCACCATTGGCTATAAAGTGGCCGAGAGAGCCAAAGCCTTTGAAATGAAGATTTTGTACCACAACAGGAATCAGAGGTAAAGCTGGTTGCAGCTCCGTGGAAAGTCTGATTTGTCACTTCTTTTAAACATTATTTGTAACATTCACTGTCAAACTGATCTGTTCTCTCCGTGTTAGGATAGGACGATGTGCGTCCCTGCACCTTTGTTATTAAATGTTACAGTAGGCTGAGGAAAGGAGAAATAGTCTGGGAGGACGTAACTCCGGTGACTTAGGTGAGGCAGGGACGCAGGCAGAGTCATCTCAGAGCCAGCTGACAGTGACGACCTGGACTTGCCAGCCCGTTTGCTGTCTTCCAGATGAGGTGTGTGTGCCCCTCACACACACCGGGACTGCCATCAGGCCCATCCCGCCCTCTTCTTTGGTGGGAATCTGTGGGGAGCGGGGAAGGACATGCCCCAACCTTGTCCTGGCACCGATAGAATGCACGGGCAGGTCCTGCAGCGCGTGAATCCAGTGAACCGTGCACAGAGCAAGGAGGCTGCTGCTGCTGACACAAATTTCTGAAGATTTAACCCCTGCCCTGTCTTGCGGGTTTCCTCAGTAATTTTCGGACGAGTTATTTTTCACAGGGGAGGGAATTCGTGTCCAACATCAGTCTTGCTTTTGGGCTGGGAAAGAATCCCTGTTACAGCCAGAAGCTGTGACACAAATGTGTTTATTTTATTATTTATTCGGTGCATTTAGGTAGTGATACTCCTCTCTTACTTTCCATACCCACAAGTATAGTACTGCACATTTGTGTGTGGTGCACTTGGTATTGTTGGAAACAGCTTAACATTTTTCTTTGCTGAGTTTCTGTCAGGTAACTGTCTAACTGCTTTGCAGTACAGAGCAAAGAAAACAATTAAGAAAACTTTTTGCTAATGGTGATTTGACCTTTATCTTGCTGCTTACTACTGGAGCTTATTTTCGGGTTTTTCCCCTCAGAAACAAGGAAGAAGAAAGTGCTGTTGGAGCTATTTACTGTAAGAAGATAGATGATTTGCTCCAGTGGTCAGATTTTGTGTTGCTCTCTGTGAACCTGACTCCACAGACACACAAACTGATTGGGAAGAGGGAGATGGAGCTGATGAAACCCACCGCTACTCTCATTAACATCAGCAGAGGTAAGGTGCAGAACAAATAAAACTGCATTACTGTGCATAAAACATCCTGAGAAAACCCAACCCTAACACAGAGTCTGTCACTCCAATTGTTTAGGTGTCCATGGTCATAACTCAGCAAAACATTCAAGCATTTCTGTAATTATGAGCAAGTAGGTCTCTAAAATGTTAGTGAGCTTGGAGTGTTAGAAGCCCGTGTATATTTGTATAATCTCCTACTTAAGTTTTTTATTTATCTAGTGCAGTGTTGTTGCTAACATACATCAGGGTGGCACAGCCCAGTCTGAAGTCTGGCACTGTACTTTGTTTTATGGTGCTACGTACTGCCTTGTAAAATTCCTGACTGTCCAACTCTGATGCACGTACCCAAGCTTCCTCTTCCCACTCCACCACACTCTGCTGCTGCTTCTACTTTGTGAATGTCTCTAGACGTGCCGTTTGCCCAACCACCGTGCCCAAAAGGGTGGTGAGAGAACAGTACGGAATACGAAAATAAAAGTGTCCTGCTTACTGTAACCCAGGTCTGGTTGTGGATCAGGATGCTTTGGTGGAAGCCCTTCAAAACAAAGTTATAAAGGCAGCTGCTCTAGATGTGACATATCCTGAACCTTTGCCAAGGTAGGACATGTGGTTAAGTTAAATATGAATGAGTGTATGTGTGTGGTTCAAACTAAGTACAAGTTTGCGAGCATGTGAAAAGTTACATAATTGTATTAGTAGGAGCACATGACGTATGTGCACCGGTCCCACTGAATTGATGTCCCCACTCCTTCTGTCCTAGCCAAACGAAATTCACACCGACTCATTTGGAGGATTTGTTGCATAAAAAAACCCGCAAGCTAGGCAGCCCTTTGAACTCCTCTGAGTATGCTTGGGTCATGCAATTAGTTTTTATTTTTGATTATTATTTGAAATATTTCCCTGGCTCCCTTCAGATGATGAAATAACGGATGAATGATCGGTGAGTGACTCGCTCAGTATTTCTTTTTCTTTCCTAGGGATCACCCCTTGTTAAAGATGAAGAACGTTATAATAACTCCTCACATTGGAAGTGCCACCAGAAAGACACGCCGCCTTATGATGGAAAACATGATGGAGAGCATACAAGCGGGTCTTACTGGTCTTCCTGTCCCTAATGAAGTGTTACCGTGAAGTGGCCTGCCGTCCAATGTTAATCTTAATGCTAATGTTAATGACATTTATGCTGGTGTGAGGCAACAGTAACCTGATCACTCTCCATGTAATGATCCCATGTGTTATACAGATAAAACGTATCATGCATGGCTTTAATTTATTTAAATAATCACAGGCGATTCTGTGTGGAAAACTGGAGTATTTTGTGACGAACCTCAATGAAAAACTCGGAGCGGGGGGTTTGCGCCGGTGCAGTTTATTTCGCTCCCATCCTCTTCAGGCCCGCCCGCCGGCCGCCGCCGAGCTGAGGGACGCGCGACCCGCGACCCCGCGCCACCGCCTCACGACGCGGCGAACCGCCGCCCGCCCCTCGGGGGGGGGATCGCCTCCGCACGGTTTATTTCCATCAATAAATGGTTTATTTTCACTTCCGAGCTGCTTCACGCACCCGCGCCGCAGAGCCTGCGCCCGGCTTGCTGAGGGCCGTGGAGGAGGAGGAGGAGGCTTCCCCCCCCAGTTTCCCGCCTTCCCGCGGCGGGTCCGCCGCTCCGCCAGGGGGAGCCGGCACCCCCGGAGCGCGGCTCCGGGCCGGGCGGCGCGCCAGCATGTGGGGCGGTCGGACGGCGGGCGCCGTCCCGCCGTGGGGCCGGGGCCTGAGCGGCTCCGCCGTCCTGCGCGGCTCCAGGAACCTGCTGCTAAAAATGCTCCGCAAAAAGAAGTAAGTGTGTGTGTGTGTGTGTGTGTGGGGGGGGGGGGAAGTCTCCTCCGCACCCCTCGGCTAAGCCGGGCGCAGGCCCTGTGGCGCGGGTGCGTGTGGTAGCTCGGCGGTGGAAATACCCCCCCCCCCCAGGGGAGCCCGTTGTTGTCTCGGAGCTGCCGAAAGATAAAGCTGATCTCCTTTCCTTTTCCCAAAAGGAAGAAGTTTTGGTATGACAGCCCTACCCTGGGATCCAAAGTGGTGAGTGCAAGGTTTTAGAGGTGCTGTGCCAGGAGGAGCAAGGTTGTGCTTCTGCCATTGGGGCTCACGGTGGGAGACGGGTTTTCTGGTGGAGAAATAGCAGAATTTGGGGAATAAACACCAGGGCTCCGGTTTCACTATGACAGAATTGCTGGTGGGAGGAGCTTTTTCCTCCTCGGCGCGGTTCTTTCATCCGTGCTAGCACCGATGTGCTCTTGCAGGCTGTTCAGCCCGTAGCAGAGAACTGGTCCGGATTGCGACTTTTGTATACCAGCTTCGTGTTGCTTTTCTGGAAAGTTTTCATGTTTGTCTTTCAAACAAGCGGTGACTTTCAGTTAATACATGCTGTGTTTTAGAAAACGGCTTGATTGAGGTGTGTAACTTGCTACAAAATAATAAACTAAGAAACCTTGACTGTAATACATTCAAGGTCAAAGCTACTGCGAACAGAAATACTTTTTATTGAAACACCTGACACGTAAGACCTATGTAAAGCCATCATAGCTGCAATAATGCCATTCTAAGAGCGTACTTAGAGTGAACAAGACTATATAATTGCCTAGTACAAGTTTGTAACTACTGATTAATGTGGTGGTGTTGGTGTTTTTTTTTTGTTTTGTTTTGCTTTGTTTTTTTTTTTTTTTTTTTATTTAAAGATGTATAAACCAACCCAGTTGGCCTCTGCAATAAAAGATGACCAAACAAAAACTAGGAAGGAAGATAACATACGCTGCAGAGTCTTGAACGGTCTTATTCATAAAGCTGTGACAGAGATGATGACTACCTGTGAAATTAGTCAAGAACTTTATGATCTCAAGCTGGAAATCTGCAAGGCAAGTACCACAGCTACAGCTTGTGCTGAGCAGCTCTGACTGCCCCTTGAGGTGGCTCCGCTGGGCGCTGTGACGTGTGCGGGAGGGGTGTTGCTGCTTTGCTTCTGATGTGGTAGGGCGCAGCAAGATGTGGCTCTGGATCCACCTGGCACACTAGGAAAACTTTGCCACTGTTGTACCTGGCTTAGTAGACCTTTGCCGCTATAATGCAAATGCAACTTAAGGCGACAAAGTGGTGGTTTTGGTTTTTTTTCTGTTACTGAGAGGTGGACTGTTTGCCTTGCCCTTTCAGAAGGAGGAGCCTAGTTTTACCAACATAAGTGTATCTTTCCAAGAGTCTTTTCTTTGTGCAGTTGTGTGAGAGTTGATACCTCTTTGTGTCCCTCACCAGCATTATTACACAAGCAGAAGACCTAAGTGGGGCATGAGCTTAGTTGAAAGAAGAACCATAAACCTAAGAAAATGGCATTGTCAAGCAAGGTTACAGAAAGAATTGAAATTTGTACCTAATTGTAGCTAGTGTTGTCATAATTAATGGGTTTGAAAGGGATGTTAAAGCTCTGATTCAGGAACTGAGTCAGTCTCCAGATTCTCATTTCTTGTCTGTAGTTTTTTCTTTTACATTTGCTGTTTTGTAAAGATAAATGAGGCCAGTGTGTGGCTTAAAAGCTTGATGGACTTAGCTTTGTTAGCTAGAAGCATGTAAAAAACCACTGCACCTCATAGCTGCGTATATGACAAGGGGCTTGTCATTTATGATTGAAACAGATGTGTTTGCCAGCTGAATTAATTCTGTCTTCAGGCAAGTGATTAAAATTAGAGGAGCAAGATGGATCTTTTGCCTCTATATGTGCTACATCGTTCCTATATTTCTCTCTCTCTAGGGCTTTGAGGATTGCTTGCCTAACTTGGATGGCGTGTCTCCACATAAAAATACTGGCTGGTGTAGGCAAGCCATGGCACTTTGGGGAGGCACTGCTGTAAATGAAACAACTTACAGTGTGAGAGAAAGAAACAGTCTTCTTCCAAATATAGTACAGATTTTGTTATAACTGCATAGTTCTTAGTGTTCGTGCTGCACTGGGACGTGGCTGAGACTCAGTCCTGATTTAGTCTCAGGCCGATTCTGATCTGATATCATTACTTCTGTTATCAAAAGAAATCTTCTAGCAGGCTTTCTGCAGCCCATCAGAATTTGGTTTTTTTTTGGTATCAAAAGTTAAAATTACATAATAGTAGTACAGATAAAAAATCATGCTTCAGGCCTGATACATCAAACTTTTATCCACTTGGTAGCATTACTCATGTGATGGTGAAGAGACGGCTTGTGTTGGATAGGGTTGTTTATGTGCTTACATTAGTCTCAGTGTGGGAGATGGGGGAGGTTGATCCTGCAGTAGAAACCCGTGGTTAATGACCTCGGTGGGGTTTTTTTAATGAGTGGTATGTTTCCCAAGGGAGGAGTTACTTGGTGGTGGAAAAAATCAGTATTTGCTTTGGCTTTTGGGAACAGTCAGTTCTGCCCTACGAAAGAGTAGCACTGTCAGCAGCAGAATGTGATGCAGTTTTCACTCCTGGGAATACTCTGATGGAGTTGTCTTTCCCTGCTGATGTATGTAGACACCTATTTCTTTGAAGAGTTGGTTTCTGGACTATATGACCTCTGAACTGTGCCTTCCAATGGGTAGTTTATGCTTTCTCCTCCCTCCTCCTCAGCTCCTTCCTTTGCTTGAGCCAAGGTAGGTCGTTAGAATTTTGCTGAGTGTACTCTCATAGTGAGAACCTGTTCTGTAAGACGCTGGTAGATGCGGTGAATGACAGTTACAGAAATCTTTCAGAATCTAATTTGTGTTTTCAGAAGTTTATTCTTCAGGAAGGTTGTCAATCTGTCTCACGTGTGCTTCGGCCCCTGCACACCACGCATTTTCAATTGCATGCGTGACAGCCATGAATATTATATTATCTGGTAGTGAGCTAGAGGTTCAGGCACTGGAGGGTCTCAGGGGGCTTTAGAGCTGGAGAGGCTCTTGCATTTCAGTGGCGTGGAGGGCGTCCTCTTTTCTGTCAGCATCAAAACCAAACTGGGTGACAACAAACCAGGCAGTATCACAGGTCCTTCTTTAGCAGAAACTTCCGCTTTCAACTTTCCGTATTCCAAACCAGCATGCCATAAATTGTCATTCTGGACTATTTGGGATGGTTGTGTTGAGTAAAAGTAGCACTATCAGTAACATACAGGTGTTAACAAACTTCTCCTCTGTTTAATTTCAGTCAAAGGGGACATTAGGCAGTGACTTGCCTCCATAAGAAAAAATCCTTTTGGGTACTGAATGTAAACCTTGTTTGGTGATAAACTCTACCTCTATAAAGGCACCATGTAATTATGGTTCTTAAGAACAGAGATCAAAGAAGAGATTCTGCTAAGAACTTACATATCCAGTTTGGATCACTTTATGCTTATTCATGAATTAGAGACTTTGTTTTGTATGAAGTGTGTATGTGTGTGTGTGTGTGTGTATATATATATATATAATTTTAAAGAAACATTTGTCTTTTTGCAGGTGTCCCTGGCATCAAACTTTTCAGCATGTCGTGTGTACTGGAATCCTGCTGCCACTACTGAGAAAGACAGTTATGTTGAAAGTGTACTGAAGAAGAGTGCTCCACGTATACGGTACTGCTGTGGGATAAACAGTTAGACCACTTCATAAATTCACAGCCGTGTATTAGTACAATTTCCAAAGTATTGCTAACAGTGTGTCTGACCTGTTAGGATGCTTTAGGTTTTTAGATATTAGAGCATCTCCCGTGACGAGCCTCACAGGGAAGGGTGGCTGTGTCAGACCAGCTGTGTATTCTCCTGTTGGCACACAGCTGGCTTGGTTGGCTTCTCTGCTTTCCTGGAATGGGACTGGGCTGAGCGGAAGGAAGGAGGAGTCTGGATGAAGTTTCATTTCTTTGTGCTAGTGGTGGTGGGTTGGGCATGCTGTGCACGATGGTAGGCCTGAAGATGATGCTGCACAAGAGGACTGGCAATTACAAGTATCTCTTTACAGATTCACTGGGCTATTCTGATCGCTAGGGACAATCTGGACCTCCAGAAGGGGTGACTGATACTACAGAAATTCTTCACAATACCGATACCAAAAAATAAATGTTGGGATGCTACTATGTATTGTTATGTTTTTTCCTCTTATCGGCAGGGGGTCCGGTGAAGGAGCGTTGCTGGCTGGGAAGAAGATGGGGGGAACCCTGTCAGTCCTTCCTGCAGCTAGCGTGTAGGACTAGTTGTCTCGCCCTGCTGTGAGGGCTCTGTCCCCCACTGCTCTCACCCCTACAGTGGGGATAAGGAAGCCAGATGAAGTGGGGAAAGACTTGTGCCAGCCTCTGCACCTAGGAGACAAATCTGATATCATCAGTACTCAGTGGGATCTGCAGAGAGTAGTTTTTGTGTGTCACACATTCAGAGTTGGGATTCTGCTTAGCACTAACCCGAATAGACACCCATCAGGCCGTAAGTTTTGCAAGCCGTATCCTTAAATTTGCAGTACTGCTGGAATTAATTTAGCATGTTTTATCTGTCCTGGAGTTGCTGTACTGTTCCTCACACTGATGAATGCTGTCTTTTTGCCAGGTATCTTCTGAGGAGTCAGCAGATAGTAGGAAATGTGCCCCCGGTAGTATTTGTAAAAGACAAAGAAGCTTCAGCTGTAAAAGAGGTAATTGTAATCTTTGACTAAATGTACAAATACAACAATATGCAAACATTGTGACTTAGCGTACCATAATGCTTAGGAGTATGGAGAGAGATGTTCATTCAATTGCTCTACTGATCCACATTAAAAATCAGTCTTTGTCTATACTCTTTCCTCTTCGTGTTCCAAAGCATTTTTGCAAAGAATCTTGAGTAAGGCTGATGCTTATGTACAGTGTAAAAGAATCCTTGTGGCTGTTGCCTCATTTAACTTTTTTTGATGCTACTAGTAACATTTCTGAAGTGAAGTTTTCAGAGAAGCTTGTAGACCAGATCATTAGGCCAATAAAGAAATCCTAAAAAATGAAATTAGAATCTTAAGGAATAATATAGGGTAGGCAGCTGTCTGTTGCCTGGTATATTAGATTATAGCAATGAGGTCTGAGGAGCTGTCTTCTACATTTTAAATGCTATGTGTTTTCAAAATTCCATTGAATCTAATCAGTGAATTTTAACTGTTTTTACCCCAGCCTTTTTCCATCTGTGAATCATTAAAATATTTCTAGGAAAGTGCAGATCTTTGCATAGAGGATGTAAGCTCATTTGTACTACTTTTTTTTTTTTTTTCACTTTAAAAATTATCTTTACTATTTCACATTTTCTGACAAGGTGTGGAGAGTTTTAAGTAGTTGAAATATTGCTAGAATAACAACGTTTGCTAGGAATTTGCTGTCATCAGGACTGTGAAACGAGATCTCTTAAATAGTGTGATTTCCAGAAGATGACATCAATGAGTGGAATTTCATGGAAAAACATCTCAAGCTGTTGATGTGAATGGAAAGAGCATTAGTTGAAAAGAGCATGTTCCCATTTCTTACATGTGAATCACATTAGTCTTAGATGTGTTACTCTTTTTGAAGAAGAAAACCCCTGGACCACGTTTACCTTCAAGTTCAGTGCACAGGCACCAAGGAAATGAGCCACACAAGATGAGTAAAAACCCTCCTTGTATAGCTTCTGTTAGTGAATGGCACTGGGAAGTGCTTAGATGGATCATCTTTTCACACTTTGCAGATCATCAGATTTATGTAATTCACAGATTTGAATAACAGGGCTTGAAATAAACGTAGCTGAACCTGATTTTTAAGTATTGGAAGACGGGGAAGGACCATCTAATTCAACTCCTAGAATAATACACTGAATTAGAAGGGAAGTAATGTAAAGAAAAGTAGGAATAAAAATTTCAAGTGAGATAAAATTTTCATAATTGGTACAGTCTATAAGCACTGAATATACCAGATTTGTAGCATTTACTGGTTAGGTGCCATGTTTAAAGGGAGTTGGGAACTCAGTATTTACATGTATTAGAAATACAAACTTGAAGAAAATGGGAAGAAGTGAAAAAAAATCTCAGTATGAGGATGTTATGAAAAAGGATTTGCAAGACTGAAGTAAAACCAAATAAACCAAAAATTGTGTATGTCGCACAATCCTTAGCCAACTGTTCGGAATGTACGTAAGGCAAGAAACTGGATCAGTTATGATATTTGACACAAATTTCCCAGGCAAGAAGTATAAGTAGTTCCATGTAAATGGAGGAAAAGGCTATTTTTAAATGATTCTGTTAAATATTCCAAACACGTACAAAATAAAATATTTGTTGTTACGTACTTGTCTGTTTCTTGTGTAGGTGTGAACAAAGTAAATTTAATACAGCACCTTTAATATGTATTGTCTTCATGTGTTTACAGGTTGAGGATTTATTGTCAGTTGCAGATTTTGGACCTCCAGAAGAAAAAACATCTCAAAATGACTCTAGGTGGGTTTTTTGCATCAGAATTGTACAAGTGTCTGTTTTCATCTCTGTTGGCCAACTTAAATTGGGTATTGACCTGACAGAAAGTGTATTTTAATTAGATGTGTACATTGTTGTTATCTCAGAGTACAGCAAACGGTGTTATGAGGAAATAGAAAGTAGAAGAGAGAAACTTTTTGGAGGACCCTACCAAAAAGGCATCTCAGCATTTAAAGTGATCAGCTGGGCCTTTTTATTAACAGAAGAGGCTACAGAATAGCCTAGGACAGACCTAATATGTACTTATCCCAGAAATTAAAAGTAGAGGACTGCATTTTATTTTGTGGTTTAAGCTTTCATTAGCAAAGTTACACCCGTTTATTAAAATGAAGGGAGAATACTTCTGATATATGCTCTGGTTTACCTTCATATTTTAGTGCAGAGACATTTTCATAGGCTATTTTGTCGTCGGTTCTTGTGCACAGGTACCTTGCTGCAGACCACAGGTTTGCAAATATGGGAGGGGAAAGTCTGTTTTATATATAAAAGTGGACTTCTGTTAAGCTGTGGAGAATGACTGAACTGGCACTTGTAACAGCATAGTGTACATGCTTTCAGAGACAAATAACCCCTAGGGTTTAACCTCTAAGAACACAGTCTTACAAGTCAGCTGTGTTTGATGTCTATACTCTGGGTGACATAGTCATCAGACTTGTTACTTGCAGACCCAATACTTGTTCTGGTATTAGTATCTTTACTTTTGTGAGGGAAATATTTTTAGAGTTTTTAAGAAATCAAGACTTAATGTGCTTGTGATAATTAAATTTTAAAAGATGCTTTGCAGCATCAATATTTGTTTCTTGCTGATGATTTTCTCATGAGGATAAAAGCTCGATGTTTACCAATACTCCTCTCCTTGGCCACTTTTTTTCTGGTATAAATTAGGTTTGTTATACATGAGTTACAAGTGTACTGACAAATCTCCCTAACTTAACAAAGAGTAAGTTAATTTAGCATTCTTCTGTGAGGGATTTTTGACTATTGAGGGATAGAGCTGAACGATCTATTGGAATAATGATCCTGTGGACTGGATGCTCTCGAAGCCAACAGCCATGCACTTGTGCACTGCAGTCTGTTGGGGGAAATGTCCTTTGTGCCTTAATGTCTCACCAGAAGGTTCGTTGGGTGCAAACCAGAAACAGCTTCTTGGGGGAGATCATTGTTGCGACAGACTTTCCCACAGGGCACCTAACATCTTCCCCCGTTCGTGTTTTGTGGAAATACTTGAGCCTGGCTTTAAGGTGCCGTGTCCTGTCATTCAGGCGTGTGCCTGACGTGTTTTGGGCACAGCCTTCCCGCTTCTTGGAACAGTTGGGAGAAGTCAAACTTCCTTGGGGGCTCCCAAGTCCAGTGCTCACCCGTGCGCACCTTTTCCCAGAAATGGGTGGTTTCATCTGCAGTGTAGTTGCTTTATTGGCTTTTTCCCATAAAATCTGTTGCCATGCTGCCAGGCTTATCCTCAGCCTGTGCTTGGACGCAGAGGGATACCTCTTCCTTCTTAACATAGGGAAATAAAGTCAAACTGAAAACTCCCCTTTATTTCTGTGTTGCTTAAGTTGTCACAATTAGCATTGCCCCTTCAAATATGCACGGGGGAAAAAAACCCACAACATTTGTTTTCCTTTCCACAGAGAACTGTTCTCTTCATCAACTCAACCTTCAGCAACTCAATCTTCAGATTCACCCCTGCGGTCTAATCTTTTTGGTATTGATCATGAACTGCTGAATAAGCAGATAATGGACTATAAAAGACTGAAAGTGTCAAAAGATAGAGAAAACATTGCCTTGACAGAAGTGCAGGAGCAGCAGCTTTCTAAGATTCAAAAGAAAATGAAAAAGAAGAAAACAAGGAGTCTTCCTGACGATGACATTACACCACAGAAATACTTACTGGACAGATATGAAGCTGATCACTGGGATGATAACACTGAATCAGTCTCGGACTATGAGCTGGAGGATGAATTACAGGAAGAGGTAAACAAATTGGAGGCAGATTATGGCAAAACTCAAAGTCAGCCTACTGATAAACTGAAATGAAGTGGAAAAGCCACTCCCTTGAAAATGGGGGCTGCCGATAGCAAAAAACAAGACTGCCATCGATACTGAAAGGTTAGTTTTGTACAGCCTGTTTACCACTTCCTCTTTCAAACTAATAGGTTTGCCACATGTGAGGAGGTTTGCTGGCACAAGGTGTGTAGAAAAAAAAAAAAACAAATGCAATTTGTGACATTCTGTTAAGCAGCTTTCAAGCTGCTGCAGTTGTAGGATTTTCAACCAGAGAGCAGCTTTGTAATAACGATATACATAGTACAGCACTGAGTTAAAACTTCCTACAGTTTTGTTGATTATTTCCAATAAAATTATGGCTTCTATGTTGAAATAAAACGTTGTCTTTTATTTTTTTGAGTGATCTGGATAAAAATAATCATAAAGTGATAGTGTCTGTTATTCTAAGGTCAGGAAGCAAGAGGGAAGCGAAATGAGTGGTGTTCAAAGGGCAGCCCTCAGCACACAAAGACCAGGACAGGGTGTTCTCTAGAGGACCTAGTCTAACGGGGGAGCTCTTTCCCCAAGAAGTTGAAACTTGTTGAAATGATGGTGAGAAAAGTTACAACCCTGAAAGAAAATAAATTTATTTATTTTAAAATTCAAAAATGTATAGTTGTGCAAGGGGAACCGCAACCTGAAAAGAATGGGGAACTCATCTGTTGGGTAAAACTGGGCAAAGCATTGACTGTGACTGAAAAACTGTATTAAAAACTCAAAGGCGGAGAAAAAGCAGGGAAGAATGCCTCAGTAACTGTTTGAGATGTGGGTATGGATGGGGAATCAGAAAATGAGAATGAAGCTTTCTGGCTCAAAGCAAGTAAAAAATAACAGCGTAAGTGTGTAAAGTCAGGAGGGCTGAAGCTTCAAAATAAGTTAGAACTAACAAGGTAATGAACAGGAATTCTACCAGAAATATGGAACATTAAATTTCATTAGTTAATGGGGAAGTAAAGAATGACAGTGCAAGGGAGATTGCACTACAGTATGTTGCTCTAGTTTCTCAGAAAGATTTAAAAGACAGCAGATACAAACTCCAGAATATAAAAAATAGTCTAAAGGACTTTGAGGTTGAAGAGAGGAGTTCGGGTCAGCAAAGAACACTGAAATTCACTGTAGGATACTTAATAATTCCCTTGAAGCATATTCTGAAGACTGATTGCCTGTAAGAATATGGAGAGGACATGGGCGTCCATAGGATATTCCTATAACTGAATAAGGGTCAGGATATTATAAATATATGCATCACTTTTATTAGGATACATGTGGAAGCTGTAGCTCACATTAGTACCTACATTAGTGTAGGTGAGTAATCCCTCAAATTTCAGTGTGCCTTGTTTGGGCTTTCCAGGAGCTCTTCCTAAATTCCACGGTGGTGTGGTTTGAGCTCAGAGGGCAACTGAGCACCACGCAGCCGCTCACACAGTCCTTCTCTCCCAGCAATGAGAAGGGACAAATAAGCCAGGCTTGGGATTTGAGACAGGACCAGGAGGGGCAGATCACCCAGTATGGTCGCAAGCAAAAGGCAGACTTGTTAGGGGTAGAAAAAAAGAACATACATTTACTACAGACACTAACAACAACACATAACAGAGTAGGACAGTGAGAAGCATTGCCACATCTTGAGAACACCTTCCCCCCACCCCTCCCTTCTTCCCGGGCTCAGCTCTGCTCCCCATATCTCTACCTCCTCCCCCAGCGGCGCAGGGGCAGGGAATGGGGGGGTGCAGTCAGCGCTGCCACTTTCCATCTGCGGTGGGGGGAGCTTCTGGAACTTGTTCCCCCTGCTCCATCGTGGTCCCTCTCACACAGGAGACAGTCCTCCACAAACTTTCTCCAACTGGATTCCCTCCCACGGCTGCAGCCCTTCCCGAGCTGCTCCGGCGTGGGACACCCCCACATGCTGCAATCCTCCCAGCACTGAATTACAGCAGTGGGGCTGCCTTTTCCCACAAGACCCCGGCCTTCTTCAGGCACAGCACCTTGATTATACCAGGTGGAAGCCACAAGCCATAAATCAATGTCTGCCCCACCGTAGATCTCCATGGGTGGCGGGGGGGGCTGCCCTGCCGTCTCCCCACAGGATACAGGGGGGTCTCTGCTCCGGCACACCTCCCCCCTCCTTTCTTCCTCCATTCCTCCACTGACCTTGGTGTTCACGCAGCTGCCCCAACTCCTCCTCACCAGTCCCACTGCTCCTCACCATGTCCCTTCTTAAATACGTTATCGCAGAGGCGCAGCTGATGGGCTCAGTTTTGGTGCAGAGGTGGAGCTGACTTGGAGCTGGGGGAGCTTCGAGAAGCTTCTCACAGGGGGCCGCCCCGATAGCCCCCTCCCCTGCCACCAAAAAACTCCACCACTCACTCAACCCAGGACACACGGGATGGACACACTTTGAGGTAGGTGCTTCAGTTTGTTTTCCAGGGAGTGAAAGTATTTATCATGTCGGAAACTGTGTGCAGTATCACTGTCAATCACATCTAGCTGTGAATTTGTTGCAGCTTGGCAACAAAACTCAACTTTTTGAATGAATGGCAGGAAAGTGTTAATTGGTACTTGCTAAATGAGTCCACAGAATACTAATGTTTCCATCTTTACTCTCTGCTGTATGAAATGTGGGACTGAATGTGGGACTGTCCTGACTACCTAAAGGTTAAAAAAGGGAAAAAAGCTCAACCCACCACCCAGACAACCTGCGTACTAGACTTCTGGAAGAACAAAGAGAACAAAGTTGATGACACCTACTTTTTGTTTCGTTTGGACGTCTATAAACTAAGTTTGCAGTCTGTTGATTAGATTTTATCTAAAAACAATGAAAACCGTTCTCCCCGTCAGCTCTAATACCTTTGCTCCCTCGTTAAGAAGGCGAGGGCAGTTGACCTCTACTTGCCCACAGCTGATGTCCCAGACACCAGGCTGGGTTCAAGAAGAGAGATGGCCCAGCCCTTACTCGGGGTGCCCAGGCGTGGGACAGAACCTGGTGATGAGGAAAAGGAAGCAAAAGCAACCAGACTTAGAAGAGATGGAGATCCTAAAAAAGACCAGGCAGGATGGATGGGGAGGGAGCAGTGGCCCAGGGGATGTCTGGAGAAGGGCACTAGCACGGGTGGGAGGGCAGCCCCAGGGAAGCAACACTTATAGCTGTAAAAAAAAAAAACAATAAATGAGTGTTACACTCTATCTGAGCAATACGAACTATAATGATTTGCAGAATCCTTTGATGTAGGTTTTATGTATTGTATAACCACAGATGGGGAAGGAGCTTTTGGGGACTTCAGATGTGGTCCCCTGCCTCTAACGGCAGCCACTTGCTGCAGTCCTGTATTCAGCTGTTAATCCTGGCTAGGAATACACAGCTGGGACTAATTGTTAATTAACATTGGCAGGATCAGAGCAGCAGCTGAATTTAAGGTAGTGGTGCCCCTGTGAGCACGTGCTACATCACTCATGTTTGAATCAATGTGATCGGTCAGTGACAGTTTTTAAAAAACACAAGAGCTTTCACTGCTTCCTATGACTGTCAATTCAAACCTTCTCAAACTCTCTGGGACCCTACAAGTGTATTGTTTGAATAGAAGTTTCAGACTGAAAGTAAAGAAATACCCGTTACCCCACCAATCATGTTATTTTCCTCAAGACATGGTCCTATAAGGTACTAATTTTGAAGGGGAATTGGCGGCACGTAGTTCCTCTGCTTTATTTTAGCCAATCAGTTTGATTTCTCTGAGCCCCCTAGGACCTTGCTGTGAATGATTTTGTATTTTGTCTCTTTCCAAAACAGAAGTGTCTCTCCAGTGGGATTGCTGAGTAACACTGCTGTGCTGCAGACAGGCTGACAGCAAGGAGTTTACTAACCCTCTCCAAAATGTGTAACTCATGGAGGGCAACAATCTCCTTACTCATGCAACTCAGAAAAGCCACTAACAAAGGTGGCATCGTGCCAGGGAAATGAGAAAACCAAGATGTACATCTCACCAAAATCTTATTTTCTGTCCAAGGGATCACTTATTTGTCATGAAAGCCAATATACCCATAAGCTTTGCTTGCATATGTAAAGCCAAGAAATGTAGAATAAAAGCTCAGCAAAGGAAAAGAAATTAGTATATTGCCCAATACTTTGCCGTTTGGTCCTATATCTAACTCTGCAAGAGGATAAGTGAAGTCAAAAAGGTTTAGTTTTAAACAATTCAAAGCTCTGTAGAATGTGCCCTATCAAACCAGAAGAAAGTCATTAACTAGGAATGAGTTGCATGCACGTTTTTCTTGCATTCACTCACTGCTGACAGCACATTGCCACACTGCATTCATTTGTACTATAAAATCTACTGTGGTGAAAGACCACTCATTCTCATAAACACCTAACCAACAAAGCATCATGCTTCAAACTGTAAGAATGAAAACACGGGATTGTTTGTCTATTGTGGTAATTACTTCTGACTTTTTTTGGTAGTATGTTCTTCATAGGTAGTCCGTCTTACCTGTTGAGCTTTGCTCAAACTTAGTGGAAAACAAATTCTATTGGAGAACACTTGTAGTTTATTTTATTTAATTACTCCCTCTCTGGCTCCAAGGAATAGGTAAGGAAGGTATAAGAGGGAGAAAAGAAAGCCGTGGGAATGGGCATAGTGAAATGGCAGCACTACAGCAGATGTGTTGACATCTGTGGTGTCTTGTAAAGGAGATGAGTTCTGCAGCTGGGATCCATGAGCTGTCACAGTTTTCATCAAGTTACCCGGGACAACCTGGCATCATTTCAAGCGATGATTATTTTATTTTGCAGGTCCGAGCTGTATTTGTAGCCTTTCATTAAACCATCCGCAGTTGCAAGATTCATCAACTTGTTATCGCTAGTGTGTTAGTGGCTTCCCAAATAAAGCAATGCATATTTGTCTGTTCCTGGCTCCCACACTAAAGCCAGAAGTCAGTGTTTGCTCTCTTAGACATGAGGATTTCAGGGGTGCCTGGTGCTTGCTTCGGTGCTAGACTGAGAAGCCTGTGAGTGTCTCCACAGGTGTGTGTCTCAGGAGAAGAAGGCTTATCTATTTCTACCATTCTTTTCTTCAGTGGAAAACTCTGGTTCAGGATTTTGCAGCAGTCCACTGCTGTGGTTCACAAGACCTTACTAACTTTATTGACACCACTAACTTGTAATTGAAAATCATTACCTGATTCTGAGAAGAGGCTTCAAACAAACAGCAAGGAAGGAGGAGCTGCTACTGCTGGACTCTAGGCAGCTTAATGCATCTTTGGCTGCAATCAGACCAAAAAGAATCTCCTAGGAACACAGGCTGGCTCCTGGCAAAAGAAAACCTGGTACAATGGAGCTTAGGTTCTTCTCC